TATATATATATATGTAAATTTTACTTTGTAGGTTATCCCGCTTCCAACATCATTCTCTGCTCGTCCATGAAAATTGTCTATACTGATAATGTTAAATTAACCCGGATTTTACGTTATTAAGAAAACCGTTATTAAGAAAATTCCGCTTTATACGTTCTTCTAACAGATAAAAATTATTTTTTTCGATGCTCGCAAAATTCTTTCTGAGTTTTCGTCATCTTCTTTTTTTTTAAAAAAGAAAGAAGTTTGTTTGTTAGATGTGTGTAGCTCTTCTAGCATCCTTTTCATTTAATCTTATAGTCATTTCGTCTGTGAGAGGGGATTTCTTCCTTGAGTCAAAATCATAAGAATGATTTGGATGGGCGAAAGCTCTGGAAGGGTGGTTAAAGGAAGTAGAGAAATTTTCCCAGAAAATTCCAACCTTTGTATTTTGTAATAATCCAGCCATTTAAAGAATGTTACATTAAACAACTGGTTAGGAAATAATTTCATTTTTTTTATTCCTGTGACCTACCAGATGCTTTTTAAGCAAATATTAATTTTTTGGAACCGCTGAATTTGATTTCTACAGCATTGGCTAATGTGAACTATTGGTCTAATAAAGTTTCTCTTGGTTAATTGCTTCTTTTTCTTCTATTTTTTTCCCTTCTAAAAATTCTTCATCATATTTAATATTCGAAATTTTACAGTTAGATCAAATATAGACTTTAAAACATGATATAGGTTTGAGACTACAGAATAAAGTAGCAAGCTATTTTACCAGCATACTATCTCCTATAAAAACAAGCTTATTGTGGTGAATTTACTGAAAAAAATATTTTAATAAAATTCTTAAAACAAAAAAATGTGTTGAACAATAAAAAGAAAAAATTACTAAATCCTCCTTTTATTTATTTATAATAAATATTAAATTGTAAATTTACTAAGGCTAAACTCCCTTTTTAAAAAAATTGCCCATATAAAATCTTCAAAATATATCATTTAACATCCACATAAATTTAAAAAAAAACTTTTTCTATCATTTCTCAACAAATAAATAATTATCTTTGATATTTTAATAAGCTTTATCAAAGCTTACTTTGACATCCAATCGAACAAAATAAACTTACTAATTTTTGAAAAATGAAAATAAAAATTCAAAATATTGAAAAATGGAATTTCACTTACAAAACTGGCTTTGTGGTGTTAAATATTTCTAAGATACATTGGCATGTTTGATCCCAGCGTTCTTTAGAAAATTTAGCACCATTAGAAATTACTAGATTTTCTAGACAGTTTGTGCCAGATCTTGCCAATTGTTCATTATCTGTGAATAAATCAAAATTACAGAATTAATAAATAAAAAAATAAAAAAAATAAAATACAAATTTTAATCAATTTAAAATTTATCATGGGGCTTAATATTTTTGAAAATATCATCAATATCATATGAACAATGAAAAACTTTTAATTTTTTCTTAATTTTGTTTTATTAATATTATAAGTGATCTTATTATTTTGCTTGCGCTGAAAAAACTTCAAAATAGAATCAAGATTAGGTTTTTTTATATCTAAAACTGGTAAGTATGAAGGAAATCATTTCCATAGTTTTTTAATAGTATATTTAAAACAGTAAACCAACATATAAATGAATTCTAAAATACATTAATTAAGTATAATTATATTAAGGTGAAAATTTAAATCAAAATATACCATTACACCAATATGAAAATTCTGAGTTAAGTACAAATTACAGTTGGTAATTTTATAAAAAAAAAAAAATTTAAAAAAAAGAGAATCCAGCAGAGCTTTTGTTAGTATAAATTAATCTAAACTTAAAATGTAGTTATAAATAAGAGTAACTTTAAAATTATAATATATTGATAAAATCTTTCTTTTAAATCATTTGAATTCTAAATGGTCATAATAAGGGATTTTTTTCTCAAAATATTTTCTTTCTTTTTTTTAATTAAAAAATTAAAATTAGTATTTAATATTTGATCTTAAATACTACAGGTAATAAGCTATTTAAAATAAAAATAATAATTTTTAAAGTAATATAAAGAAGATCTTTAACACAAACCTGGAAACATGAGGCATGATATTATATAAAATTTTGTGTTATAGATCATTTCACATATCATTAAACTTACCTACTAAACATTGCAATATATCTGCAGAACAGATCAATGTGAATGCTTTTGAATAATTTTTAAATATAAATACTTAAAAACACAAAATATGTGCCAAAGTTATTTTTATTAAGTATTAAATAATTAAGTGCAATAAAAAATAAAACCCTACAAATTTAGCGATTTTGACTAGCTTTAGAGATTATGAAGTTAATGTGGTTTATGAAAAATTGTAGTTTTTAGAATTGTGTAATATAGATTTTCTACTGTACGTAAAAGAACTTTTTAAGACTTTTATCATAAGTTATTATTGGAATGGTTTCATCCGTAGTTAAAACCGTAAAGAACATAACAAATATGACAAGAATATGTTTCATTAAAATTAACTGACCAGGGTAAGCTATCACCATACAATAGATGATCCCTCCATCCAAAAAAAAAATAATAATAATAGTGCAATAATGTTTTAGGTTTGAACAATACATAATAAAAATCAAAACAAAAATTGATTAAAATCTTAAGAATATTTCACCTTGTTGCACACACCACTGCAATTGTACATATAGACTGTCCAGCATGAAGACATTCAGTAGATCATAGTATTGAGTGAACACATCAACAACACTGTATAAGGCATGGTTGCAAGTTGTAGTCATCCATTCTGCTTTCTCCGTTGTTTTCTCAGGCAGCTTCATGTTATCAAAAATACGAAATATAATTTTAAATAGTTCATTCCACCAGTGCTGCGCAAACAACGAGCCATATGTTTTGATAATTTCAAACATCACAGTCAATGCTCGGGTACGCACATCCAACTTACACCTACTGACAATATACGAGAGTTCAAATAATATAGGGAACCAACCACGGACCCATACTCTATCACTTTCGGGAACACTTAAATCTTCTATATTGTGCTCTTTGAATACCTAAAAGACATAATTAATTTTTATTGTATGGTTGTTCACATAGAAAAAAAAACTAAATGAATTTTTAAGGAAAGAAAAAAATTACATCTGGTTGCTCAGCAGCATATTTTGCACAATGCCTAATCAGACGTATGGCTTCCATGCTAGTATCAGGAAAACAGGCATTGCACGCAAATTCAGACAGGCACTTGACAGAATCTTGGAAGGAATCAATAAGGGAGGGAAAGTACTTTTCATAGATTTGTGCTAATGAAGAGAATATATTCATATATTAAACATATCATATCATAAACCACATATATTAAAAAATATTTATCCCATATTATTAATAATTAAATGTAATTATATATTAATACGAAAAACAATTAAAGATATTAAAAATAATCGATATTAGTAGCCAAAGGTGAACATAATAATGCATCACTCATGAATATATTACTTTTAAATCTAAATTCCACTAAAATGAAAGAGAGAAAACTTCCTTAATTCTCTTAAACGATATTCATACTAATTTTTTGATAAATTGAATGATTGTATAAACTGCAAACAACTATCCAGTAATTATATTAGCATTGAAATGAGAGATAGTATTAAATATTAAAAAAAAGTCTTATAAGATTCTTATACAACGAAACATCGAAAATATGGACTTACTATTTTTTCATTCGTAAAGATTGAAGTTCAAGATGTAGATATTCGTATTTTGTAATTACATCATATTAAAAAATATGATTTTGTAAACTGCGGAAATCTATAACAATAACTTCAACTTCTATAACAATAACTTCTGAGAAAACAATTGACAAATCGTAAGGATTTTCAATCAAATTGTCGTGAATTGAGCACGTCATAAAGTGACTATTGATATATATAACTTAAAACTCAATGCACATGCATGGGGTACTATAGCCTAAAAGATATTCAGATTTCAAAAACCATGTAGAATTAATTGCCGAAAAAATTATAATGACAAATTCATGAAGACTTATGGTGAAATAGTTGCGATTCAGCATTTTCTCCAGTATGCTTGCTCATACATGCATATCTTTATACTATTAAAAATCCTGAGATTCAAAAATTATCTGTTGCAATTACTACTGGAAAATGCGCAATAGGATCACATGAGAGCCACATTAAAAATTAAATACCTAACTGTGTGAATTGAATGTTTCATTCAAAATATTGGTTTTTTTAACAATGTCGAAATATATTGCAAATTACTGCCAGAAAAGTACTAGAAAAATCACATGAATTTAAGATTAAATTGGTGATTTGCCAATTGTAGCAATATCCAATTAAAAATATCAGGATTTTGAAAACTACGTGGAAATCTGCAATAATATTTATGAAAAAAAAAAGAATCTCAAAACAGTGAACTATGATTGAATAGAATGAGAAAGATAATACTTAAAAGCAAGATTTAAAATTCACATTTTATAATATCATATTAAAATAATTAAGATTCTTAAAACCAAGTGGAAATTAATAGAATAACTGCTGAAAAGAAGGCCAAAAACCCACATAAGTTAAGATGGAGATTAAATACATCTTTTTTTCATAATTTTGATCTTTTTAAACCTGGCCCTTGTAAAACCAAGAGCAGTCTAAATTTTCAAGGTTATACAGTATAAGCTTTACAATACTTCTTTAATAATGAACAGTGCGCATAAAAAAGGAGGAGACCCTGAATAATTTTTGATCTAATGATCAGATTTTCACGTTCTAGGACCAAATCTTAATGGTCCAAGGGGGTGACCTCAAATATGCTAATTAATAAGTGCAGACAATACTTTGAAGTATGAAATCAGGCGCAAAAGCGTACTTTCTCTGAAAAAGCATACTTTTTTTCTCTCCGACGGATGCAGATTTCTAGTCGTAATCTGGAAAATATGGTCCACATATGAGAGAGAAAATATGGTCCACATATGAAATTTCAGGAGAGAGCTCCGAAGTTTGGACCCATTAACGTTAATTTTACTTTCTGAGTATTTGCTATACCTCAAGAACTTTTTAAAGGGATGGAAAATTTTNAAGAACTAAATCTTAACGGTATAAGGAGATTACCTCAAACATGCTAATTAATACAGGCAATAATTTAAATTTTTATAAAAAAAATCGTATATTTAAAATCCAATTTTTCAGAAGCTATTTTGACTTCGTTCAGTCGTTCGTTTTGATTTCGTACCACCAATTTCATTCAAATTTTGTATTTTGTTATATGAAATTACATCTTTAATATAGTGCAAAAAATTGTATACCTTACATTCAAAATTTTTTCAACCATTCTCAAAAAAAATTTTAAAAAAATTATTAATGTTTAACAGAAGTTCTTTTTTGCATAGAATTATCTTTGGATGAACAAATTTAATAATTTTGTGTAAAAATTCTTTAATTTACTTAAAAAGTTCCCGAGATATAGCGAAATACACAAAAAGTAAAATTAACATTAAAGGGTTCAAACTTTAGAGCATTTTACTGATCAAACTATTGAGACTATATTTGGGGGTCAGAAATTTGCATCCGTCGAAAAAAAAAATGTTTATTCAGAGAAAGTACGTTTTTGCGTCTGATTTCATAACTGAAAATATCATCTGCACTTATTTTTTAGCATATTTGAGGTCACCTCCTCGAACTATTAAAATAGAGTCCTAGAACGTGAAGATCGGATCATTAGATGAAAAGTTATTCAGGGTTGTCCTAATTTTTAGGGGGATGGGACACACTGTACATGTGCATAGAAAAACTATGTTGCATAACCAAGCAGTTTTTAATGTTAGCATTCTACTTTACAGATCTTAGAAAGTATATGCAAAGTGCATGATTAAGAAAATAATGATTTTTTCCCGAAATAATAATAATAAAAAGATTTTATTTAAAATTTGGTTAAAAAATAAATACTTACTAATAATTTTTCCCGTAGTCTGAAAAGCTAATTCTACAATACTTTCATTATCATCAGCAGCTGCTAAATGGAACACGCTAAAAATATTTTTCCAACCAGACTTAATATTTGATGCTTGAGAATTTACCATCTGAGCTATACAACGTACCACCATGTCTCTAATTGCAGGTGACCGATTGTTTTTCATCACATGTTCAAAAGGTCGAAGAAATTCTTTCTGGAACCTAAAATTTGTAAATTCTCCTTTTTCTAAAAATTTCATGGAAAGTTGCCGAAGTGAATCGACTGCGAAAAAAGCAACATCTTCAATAGGACTGCAACCAACCTGTTTTAAGCAGATAAACATCATTAAAAAAAAATTTCTATAAAAAAAAGAGCACAAATGAAATCTGCAAATAAACAGAAAGAAAAGAAAATACTTATTTGTCTGAGTAAAAATTATCAAACCTTTTTTTTAATTTAAAATTTATAATTAAAAAGAATTATAATTTCATACTCTTTTGCAACAAAAGTATTAATAATCTCTATAGAGGAATAAAATTTAAAGTCAGGAAAATTCGTAGGAAAGTAATGAAGCAAAAAATATTATTTGTATACAACTCCATCCCTTTTTCTTTAATTGAGTTTTAAAACAGTCAATCATTTTTTGAATTACTAGAATAAAATAAGAGTAAAACATCTTAGAAACCTCAAGTTTTAAATCTTTTTTTTTCTTCAATAACTGCTTTGAAATGAAAAAACACTGCTATATACTTCTACTTCTTAGGCATTACAGCTGGTTAACGGCTAAAGCCGTCTCATTAAGTTTATCCCATCTAGATCTATTCGATGCTATAATTCTCCATCTGTTAACTCCAAGTCCTTTAACCACTTCTCTACTCTATCTAACCATCTAGGTCTAGGTTTTCCTCCCTTTCTTTCTCCCTCTGAGGTTTGGAAGGTTATTTTTAACAGGATTTTCATCGCTATATTGAAATACATGTCCAGCCACCTTATTTGGAAAACCTTGATCACTTTCACTATGTTAGGTTCTTTGTATTTTGACTGTAATTCATGTTTGTAACAAATTCTCCACGTTCCATTTTCTCTTACTGCACAAAAATTTTTCTCAGCATTATAAAGTCAGTTTCTCTTTGTCTGCTTTGTTAATTATTGCCCAGCATTTGCTGCCATATAAAACTATTGGTCTCTCTAGTGTCCTTGAACAACTTTATTTTTGTTTCACAACTTACGCATTTAGATTTTAACTGGTTTCTTAATCCTCGATAACATCTGCCAGCCATGTTGATTCGATTTTTGATTTCAATTTTTATGTCATTATCATTATTTACTTTTGAGTCTACATATTTAAATTGAGCTACTTGTTCAAATTCATATTCATTAATTTTCAGTGGTTGCAGATATGTGATTCAGTTTGTTATTGTCATGAATTTAGTTTTTTCCATCGTAGACTGATAATCCTATGTTTTTTGCTGTCTTCAGTGCACAGAAAGTCTCTACTGTAGCTGCCTTAGTTTTTCTCCATGATATCGATATGGTCTGCAAATGCTAGTAATTGTACGGATTTAACAAAAATTGGGTTCTGTGTTTGTATACCAGAGTCTCTAATTGTCTTCTGTAGTGCTTAACTCTACAGATGGCATGAGAGGGAGTCTCCTTGTTTCAGTCCCTTTTCAGGATAGAAAGCATCTGATACTTTTGATCCCAAAATTTACTCAACACTTTACTCTATAAGTGTCATTCTTATGAGGTTAACCAGTTTTTTAGGGATTCCCAACTTTGACATCGTCTGATACAATTTCTCACGATTGATTCTATTGCAAGCTGTTCTAAAGTCGATAAAGAGATAAAAGGTATCTAAGTTACATTCTCTGGTTTTCTCAAGTATTTGTTTAATAATGTGTATTTGATCTGTCATCAGGGATGAGAGTAGTCAAAAAGTAAAAAAGAGGAAATCCAAAAAAAAAAAAATTTATATATATATAAACAAAAATTTGACAAAAAAAGTGCGATTTTTAAACTTGTAAACCATGTGATTATAAATCCCGATATAAGGCTTTTAAATCACGTAAATATAAAACTCTACATTGAATTTAAAAAATGCGAAAATACAAATCTTGATGCATAATTTTTAGATCACGACGCATAATTTTTAAATCGCGCAACATTACAACCGCAAAAACGAATCACGACATTGGATTTTAAGCTCGCGTGAATACGAATTGCTACATAGGGTTTTAAAAGCTCGTAAATACAAATCGCGATATTGGTTTTTTAAATCTCGTAAATAAGAATCGCAATGTACAATATTTAAATAGTCTGAATAAGAATCGCAACGTTCAACTTTTAAATCAGGCAAATACGAAAATCGATGTTTGATAATAAAATCGCGATTTTAAAAATGCATAAATACAAAACACGATATTGGTTTTTTAAATCTCGTAAATAAGAATCGCAATGTACAATATTTAAATCGCCTGAATAAGAATCGCAACGTTCAACTTTTAAATCAGGTAAATACGAAAATCGATGTTTGATATTAAAATCGCGTGAATAAAAATCGAGATATTTGCTGAGTCTGGACTTGGGATTTCTAAAAGGCTTGTTTGTATTGTTTTTGTTTAGATATAATAAATAAAAATTTACATGATTAATTGAATGAGCAAATAAATATTTTCACCGCAAATCCACCTCTATTTTTTTCTCTTTTTTTTTTGTTTGTTTTCACGCCAGAATACAAGAAGCAGCGACGTCTGAATTACGAAAATACGAGCTATCCCGCCAACAAATAAAAAATACGGAAAATCTTATTTTCTGTGCATGAAATCGGAGAAAATAGCTAATATAAGTAAGAATGCGGAAGGGTTAGCAGCTAGGACGTAGTTTGAATTTTCTGTTTATCTTTGAAAATCGTAAATAAATATAATTATTTTACTTCAACGACTGAATTTTAAAAGAAAAGCGGGATATTTATATATAACACAAACGAAACTTTTAGAGAATCGGAGTTTTAGATAAAAAGGCTGAAATTCGAGAGACAAAAAAAAACTCATCCCTATATAAAGGTCAACCAGTTTTCTCCCAAGAAAATGATTTTTAGACAAACTTCAGAGGGAGGAATAAGGACTTCAATGATTTCGCTCCGCGGAAAATTAAATTCCTCATAAAATATCTTAACTAGTGCAAAAAAAAATGTCAGCGGAAATTAGCGGGAAAAATGGAAAAATCTGAAAAAAAGAGGAAATCCGCGGAAGAATCTCATCCCTGTGTCATTGATCTGCCATTTTGAAATCCACACTGGTATTTCCCAATTACTCTGCTAGTATAAATAACAAGTCTTTCTGCCAGGATACTTGTGAAGATCTTGAATGATGTGTTCGAGAGAGAAATTCCTCTATAGTTTTTACAGTCCAGCCTGTCTCCTTTCTTGTATATTGGACAGATGGAACCATCTTTTCATTCAATGGCAGTTTTTTCCACTGTCCATACACGAACTATAGTGGCACGTATTCTCACAAATTTATAGAATTTCGTATTCTCACGAACTTGCAGAAAATGAAGAGCTATCTGCTACCAATTTTGAACATTTATTGTCTGAACTACGAATAAAGGAGAATATTCAAACTAAAATTTCCGAATATATTTAAGGAATAAATGTTTATTCATTTGCACTGAAAATATTTTTGCAGTACATATTTTTACTGTGAAAAGTTTTTTTTATACTTATTAAATATTTATTATCAAATTTTCAAATCCATTACTTCTTCATTACTTTTCAATCATTTTCAAGTCATTATTTAATCTTTTATTTTGATCAGCATTTGCCATTTTCTCACATCTATTGCTTATAATGAATGGTTCCAAAAGAGAGGACTAATCAAGGTTCTACTGTATTATAATTTTTATAACCATGACCTTTATATTTATATTTTACAATTTTAGGGTGTGTTAATAAAACATTGCAAATTGCAAACATGAACTGGTCGAACATTAGGAAACTAAAATTTATGCACAATTTTTTCCTGAATATAAGTTGACCCTTCTTCTATTAAAATTTAAAGTTGGAAGATTTTTCATGCCTTAGTTGTATAAGTCAACCCTTTAATTCACAGGAGTTGAAATGAAAATTATTAACCAATCACATTCAGACTGCAAGTTCAGTGTCTGAAAGTTATATGATTGAAACATTTTTGATTCCTGAAATTAATATATGTGCGATCTGTTCTAAATAGTGATTTTTTAATAAAAAAGAATTTATTTGTGTTATTTTTCACCTCTTTTTATCAGTTTCATCATGCAAATTTTTTAGGTATAGCTTAATTTGATACATCCTTTGTTTGAAATCTTGGATATCAAATATTACTGTTGAATAATTCAACCCAACTATCACCGCAATTTTAAAGCTCAAAAAATCAATTTATACAGCTGAAAATATGCAATGTTTAAAAACAACAAAAGTAATCTTACTCACCTTATTGAAGTGCTCTCCAAGAACTTCCCAAATTCTAGCCCACTTTAAACGAATTCTTCCCATATTGTAATATGAAATTTCAACTATTTTTTGTAAGCTAAACATTCTTGGATGTGATGAATTAGCAAGTTCTTCTAATGAAACTTGACACAATGCTTTAACAAAATCAACAATTGCATAACCATCTAAGCGAGTAGATCCTGTAAATATCCTATAAAAAAAACACAACATGATAAAAAAGGATATACAACTATCAAAACAAACTCGATAATTAGTGCAATTAATAACACAAAGGAAAAAGAAAAGAAAACTAAAAACTGTAATTAATGTTTAAATAACATTTAAATATATTTTTCTGAAGCAATAAAAATCTGTTATATATTTTACATGTTACTGAAGTATATTAATGTATGTATTAAATTTGTTCCAGATTAATGAATGTATTAAAATTGACTTCAATACAAATTTCCTTTTTTTACTAGTTTGGCAGGTCCAAAGAATTGATTTCTTAATTTTTGGCAGATCTTAGAATTTCTTTGATAATTTTAGCACAAATAGTATAAAATATTGATTGACAAGCATAGAAAAAACAAAACAAAAGTATCGATAAATTACAGTTATTTTATCAAGCTTTCTCTTTATTTTATTTATTTCATGCTTTCAAGTGCCTAATAATATTAATTTATGAATTTTTAAGCAATCATATAATTTTATAGGATAAAAAAAGAAGCCTAATTCTGAAGTTGCAGAGGAGCTGGATAATCCTATCTTAGATTCTAATAATTGGAGTAATTTCTGTTTTGAACATTAATTCTAAAAGATTTGTACTATGGCCATCAGCTAATACACCGATTTTAAAGTATTTATCTGGAAATGAAGCAGATCAAATAAATCGAAAATAAGAATTTTCTGAAGAAAACAAATGCAGCATACGTACATACACCAGATTTACAAAACTTATATTTAAAAAAAATTCTGTGGAATACTTGTAATCTTAAGTAAACACAGTAAAACCACACTATGATACTCCTAAAATAATTTTGAGAGATATATTATTATCCCAGAATTATGCTTGCTTAACATAGAATTACAGTTATCAAAGAAAAAAGAAGAAAAAACAATAATTATTATAAAATTTGTAAACTTCTTTAACATTAAGAAACAATGCTTCAAAACTTTCTTGTGGATTTACATAACCTTTGAAGAATTTTAATCTAAAAATAATCCATTTAAAAAAAAAAATTATTTTATATTTACCTGTCTACAGCAACGACTACACTGTTTGAACTTGTTTCTCCCAATGTTTCTTGGAGAAGAGCACTCCTTTTTTCATCCAAAGGCACTCCCCCACGAGCCACTATGTGGAAGATAAAATATTATGGTCAAAAATAAGATTTCAAAAACCTATATAATATGGTCAAAAATAAGAGTTCATTGTATTTTTTAGTATTAAACAAGTTCTTTACTTATTCTTTGACTTTTCCAAGATAACTTTTATAAAACAGTTCTCTAAAAGGTAGAATTTTTTTTGTTAATTATATGTTTAGTGATAAGATTCCAAAACCAGCTTAAACCAATTTTCTTAGCATTAAACAATTCCTTTTCTTAATCTTGAACTTTCTCTAGACAAATTCTTCAACAATTCATTAAATATACCAATACCATATAATACTTGAGAATTTTTCTTAAGTATTATATGGTTAGTAATAAGGCTCTGAACACAGCTCAATCTACTTTTTGTATTACTCAACAAGTTCTTTGCTCATTTTTTAACTTCCCCTAAAGCAATTTTTTTTTCCTAAGACAACACACTATGTAATAAAAATTTTAAAAAAATTTTAATGTTTAGTAATAAGGTTTCAAAACCAACTCGATCTACTTTTTCAGAATTTAATGAGAACTGAGCTCACTCTTTGAAGTCATTAAAGGTTTTGCTTCACACAGCTCCTTATCAACTAAAAAGAAATATTACCTAAACATGGCAATCAAAAACAGCTAAAATTACACTAAAGTTTCTCTTTCTTTATACGGCACTAGAATTTTTGCATTTTAAAAATCAAAAAAAAAAAAATAATATTTTGATAAAAAAAAATTTTTATTAGTTATTTTTTCATGCTTGAAAAAAATACAGGTAATTCCAAAATAAAACAGTATTCTTTACTTGTGAATAACAAAAATGATTCTAATGATATTTTCAATCAAAATATTAATGAATTAAAATAAGAAAAATCAACTAATTATCACTTAAAGTAACTGTAGTAATTTTGAAAAATTTTGAAAAATTATCTATATCAAAATTAATATATTCGAATAATTTAAAAAATAATAATTACAATCAACGGGATCTAGCATCAAAGATGAACCTTCAGGATGGGATGACTGTGTATTCAAAAATTGAGGCTTTACACCAGTACCAATGAGTTGTGCGAGCTCTAGTTGAGATATGCAACGCAATATCTGAAATTAAATTTTAGAAGAAATTATATACAACTTACGGGATAAAAGAGTGATTAATAACCGGATAAAAGAGTGATAGAAAAGAACAAAAAATACCTCTAGCCAAGACTTTCCTAAATAATTTCCATCAGTGTGTGCAACTGTTATTAGGGTTTTAATTGTATCAATATTTTTTGCTTTCATTTCTGTTATGGGAGAATTAGCAGTCAAGAGAGTAAATCGAGCAAGAGCTTGAACATAAGCATCTCTTTCCAACTATAAGAAACAAGAAAAAATAGATAAATATAAAAAAAAAGTTTACATACACACAAAGTAAAGCAAGAATATTTTTTGAAAACAAAAATTTTTTGTAAAGAATTAAAAAAAAAATAGTCACTGATATTTATAAATATAAATAAATACATGTGAATATTTTTTTATCACGAGAAAAATAGATTTTCTATCAACATGAAGAACAAAAATCCTAAATATTTTTATTTTAATTCATATCTTAAAACACTTACAATTAAAGAATGCAGTTAGTTACAATAAAAGGGTTTAAAATAGCATCTAAGTAAATTAATAGAATTGTGATTAAAAATTATGCCTCTAAAATTTTTGCTAAAAAAATATCTTAAAAATTAGCTATAAGAAATTTAATGAAAAAATTTTAAACTGGGATTTAAGCTGCATAAATTCTGGAAAACATCCGAAATTCCAGATAATTCACACAACATTACAACTTGAAAATTATAGATTAAAAGAAACTTTGAAAAAATATAAATAAGATTGCGACCAAAAATCACTCAATGAATAAATACCAATTGAGAATTATTTCAGATTTAACTAAGGAGTGAACCATGCAAAATCTGATGACAAAATTAATTTGTAAAACCACCTCATGAAATAGATTCCGAAATCAATAAAACTTGATATAATTTGAGTGAGGAAATTAGTGCTGATAACACAAATTTGTGCTGTGATAAAATATTGAAAATGTCCTCACTGAAATGTAAAATTCTAAAATAACATGGCCACAAATCATCATTACATGTAATATCAGTAACATTCAGATTTTTGATAATGCGACAATGAAATAATCACAATCAGTTTGGATTGGCGAATTTTCACTTTATTATAGTAGATAATACTTATATTGTAAAAATATAATAAGAAACATCAAAATAAATTTAGGAGGTTCCAATTTCAAGCTTTAAATAAATTTAATGTAGAGTAAATTTCTTAATTTTTAAATGGCATTTAAATGCTGAAATAATTTAGGATTTTGCAAAATAAATCAACCATTAAAAAAAGGCTCCGTATGAATTAAAAATACTACAAGAGAAGTCAATTCCACATTTTGGAGAAAAAAATATCCTAAGCACTATTAAGTACTTGAATAGCTCAATTAAATACTAGAAATAATAGTTATATTAAGTATATTAGTTTGCAAAACACATTAAATAAACTATCTCATAAAATAAATAAGGATTACCGTCATATGAAAAATACAAGTTATTCGAATTGCACATCTGATTCCATCCAAACAAAGTGAAGCTATTTCAGAGTCATCACAGTCTTGAAGTCCAATACTGAATGCAGCTAAAAATGGAGTCCATGCCATCTAAAAAAATAATAAATTACAGTGACTTTTGTTATACTATTCCATAATCTATCACACAAATAAAAGAGAAAGTTGGCCTTTAGTAGACAAACCCACTTAGAGGAAGACAAGAGAACACTAAACACTCTAATAAAACATTATAACTTTTAAATTAGATAGCAAATAAGCTAAAAATTAAGGACAGAGAAAATATATATAACATAGACTTTTTTAAGTACACCAGAAGTTTAAAATAATAAAAAAGACCTATATCCATCAAGCAAGCTAGATTTGGTAAAAAGTTTTGATATATCTTTATTTGTATCAAAGTAGATATTGTAATTTGTTTCAGAGTTTTTTTCAAATGATGATTTTGAATGTTATACGACATCACAGTTCACGATCAAAGTTTAAAAAAAGTCTGAAAGAATTCTGTACAGCAATGTAAACTTTTTACAAGTTTATACAGTAAAAAGAAAATATTGAATGACTAAAGTTTCAAGAGTACTAAGCGGTTAATATTATTTTTTAACCTGTCATAATTAATTAATATTATTTCCTAATCTGTCATAAATAACATCAAGTTATATAATATATAAGGTTATATGCAATACATCAAGCAAAACCCAAATAATAATAAGTTACAATACAGTAATTTATAATACATCAATAAAAGTTACACAGTAAATGAGTAATGAATAAGGTTATGCTAATAAGGTACAAATTACGCACAAATAAAAAATAAAAAAAACATTTTTGTTATTAAATTATGTATATATTATTTTTATTATTTAAAAATGGGTGTACATAAAAGAAATTTAAAATATTTACTTTGAACATAGGACGAACATGCTCTAAGTGCTTCGCACGGGTAAAGGGAGCTTGAACATGACTCACACTTTCCATTAAAGCTTTGGCTGTTTCAGCCATTTCTTCCATTTCAACATTGTATAGAAGCCGTCTTTTTTTCTCACTTCCTAAGTCTATCAAATATTCATAATATTTAAAAAACATTTATTGATACAAATGAAAAACACATAATTAAGAATTTTAAGAAAGCAGCTAATTACTTTGTTTTCCACTGAACTTAGTTGCAGAAGCCTTCATTTTGATTTCATTTCCAGCGATTTCATCATAAATTTGAGACAAGTACTCTTCAGGAAGATCCTTACTATCATTGATTCCTCTATTCATTTTTATGTATTGCTCTTTAGTCATTTTACTTTTAACCTATTAAGAAATCATGTTTTTTCTCTCAATAAAACAAAATATTTGTCTGAAAAAATATTTTTAGCAGATATAAATGAAATAAAATCTATTTTAATGAATCTGCACATGTCATGAAAAATAATATAAAAGTTAAATGAAAATAAAAAATATATAGATACATTAAATTTGTAGAGAGGATTTTTTCAAATTATAAATTTTCAGACAATAATTTCCTAATTTAATAGTTTTTAAAAATCTTTATACCTTTAAAAAACCAAGATAAGTTTTTAGACGCATAAGTTATAAAAATTATTTATCCCATATCAAAAAAGTTTTCAAAAAATGATTCATTATTCAACACAGGGATGAGAATAGTCAGAAAGTAAAAAAGAGGAAATCCAAGAATATATATATAATATGTAAAGGTTATGATATCCAAAAATTTGACAAAAAAAAGTGTGATTTGTAAACCTTGTGATTATAAATCTCGATGATTAATTTTAAAATTGTACGAATGTGAATCACATGCCTGATTTTAAAAACGTTTGAATAAGTATTGCAATTTTAAGATGAGAGAATATAAATCTCGATATGTGGCTTTTGAATCACATGAATATGAAACTCGCTATCAAATTTAACAAATTCGAAAATACAAATCATGTGTAATTTTTACATCGCGCAAATACGAATCCTAATGTCTAACTTTTAAATCACGTATAAATACAAAAATCGATGTTTGATATTACAAACACATAAACGAATCACCGCATTTTAATTTAAACTCGCGTGAATACGAATCGCTACATAGGGTTTTAAAAACTCGTTAATACAAATCACGATATTAGATTTTTAAAGCTCGTAAATAAGAACTGCAATGTACGATATTTAAATAGCGTGAATAAGAAACGCAACGCGCAACTTTTACACCAGGTAAATACGAAAATCGATGTTTGATATTAAAACCGCGTGAATAAGAATCGAGATATTAGCAGATTTTGGCCTTGGGATTTCTAAAAGGCTACTTTGTATTATTTTTGTTCAACGATAATGAATAAAAAATTACAAGATTAATTAAATGAGCAAATAAATATTTTCACCGCAAATCCACTGTGATTTTTTAATTAATTCGTTTGCTTTCGCGCCAGCAAACATGAAGCAGCGACGTCTGAATTACGAAAATATAAGCTATCTGGCAGGCGGGTAAAAGTACGGAAAATCATATTTTCTGCGAGTAAAAGAAGTGAAGAAAATAGCTAAAATAAGTAAAAATGCGGAAGGGTTAGCATATACGACGTCGTTTGAATTTTCTGTTTATCTTTGAAAATCGGAAATAAATATAATTATTTTATTTCAACGACTGGATTTTTAGAAAATGCAGAATATTTATAAAAAAACCGAAATTTTTAGAAAATCTGAGTTTTTGATAAAAAGACTGAAATTCAAGAGACAAAAGCGGAAATCGGCTAAAACGCGAAAAAATCTCATCCCTGTCAACAAAACAGCAATTGTACTCTTTTTTTTGAAGAAAAAAAAAACAGAAATGATTTAAATATGATGTCTTTAAAATGTCTGGTAAATGCGTTTGTAATTTAAAAGCAACAGTGCTAAGACAGGTACTATCAAACATGATTGAAAAATAAACGAATTTTAAAAAGCATCAATAAAATTTAAGAACATTGAGGCGCAACATGCATGCATTGATATTACGTAACTGTGCTGATAATATCAAGTAGAGGGTCGAAGCTTGAAGGGTTGAAGCCAAATGTTTGAAGGATAACAGAACAATTAAAAATTAGCAGTAACAGATTATTTACACAGAAAACTGTATAATAAGTAACTGACGTGCACTTCTGGTGTATGAATGAAGACATTTTGTTTTCAAGCTTATCTATTTCCATGTATCCATTTACCAAATTCTTCAGTATTTTTTTACATATCATAAACTAAAACATTTAATTGGTTTAAAAGCGTGATTTTTTTCTGCTTGACCTTGAAAAATTCAACTGAGCATCAATTTTAAGTTCAATACTTGAGTCAAAGCTTATTTTTTTCAAATAAACTAAAATAATTGTAAGTAAGATCTTTTTAAATATCCATTTTTTTGAAAAAATGCATATTTTACCTGTGGACTATGTAAATCTGTAGTAAGCATAATAATAGAATAGGCGAGGACATAAGCAGTATCAGCACTTGAGAAAAGTGTATTACTGAAATAAATAAAAATTAATAAGCTAATGAAATATGATCAAGAAAAATTAATAAATATAAACATATTAAAGATTGATTCATAAATAGATGACATGATTCATAAATAAATAAAATCAGTTAAAGATACAATTATGTAAAATAAAATTAGATTTAAGGCAAAACAAAAACTGTAAGAGTTGGAGATACTTTCAGAATATTTAACTTGTTGCAATAATCATTTATGCAACAAGAAGTTTGATAAAATAAGAAATATGCCAGAGCAAATAATTAGTAGTTTAATACTTCTGTGTGACATTAAGTCAAAATTAAATCATATGTCAAAAATCAACTCAATTTATTTCAGTATGTTTGTCAATAAGTGTTAATAAATCTTACAAGAAATGTTTAATAAAAATAGTACATTAGTTCATTGTTTAATTTAGCTTAGTGATAAAATTTTTCAAACAAAATTTCTAGTCACACAAAAAATAAGAACAAAATAGATAAGTTTGCATTTATGTTATAAATGTTTGTTTTTAAAGTTTAGTTTTTTTTTTGTTTGGATGTTTATAAAAATTTTTACTATTCAAATACCTTTATATTACATAGATTATTAAATTAATATTTTTTAAATATTTAAAAATACAGTAGAGCGTCGATTATCCGAACCCTTATTATCCGAACATCCAATTATCCGAACTATGTCCGAATTCGCTTTTTTTTTCTTCTCTTTTTTATGTTTAGAATTTTTTTTAACATATCAACAATTTTTCTAAATTTAGAGGAATAGATAATATCCACTACATCTGAAGACCATATTTAATTTACAACCTTTTTCAGCAGTTTTCTTATAGTAGCCATACATACATGTATTGTTATACAGTTAAACCTACATACCCCTTTAGCCCTCTTCAACTGAAAATTATCATCAAAGAATGAGAGCTTCATTTTGACAATCTACAATTGTTGGAAAGCAGAATGTGTTTATGAATAGATAAGTGCTGAAATTCTACAATAAAATTCTTATCAGAAAAACAAACGAAATTGCAGTTTGTAAATCGGTAGATCTTTCGGGTGAAAAGATGCCAGGTTATACAGCAGAAGAAATAGAAGACTGGTGTCGAGACACTGAAAACGACTCAGGATTTCAAATTTTAAATGATCATGAAATTGTTTCTGAAATTTTGAATGAAAATCCGAACTCCTCAGATTAAGAGGAAGAAGTATGTGATCAAGTTCAAGATAGTGGACCTTCTCATAAGAAGCATGAAATTCATTAGATATTGCAATGAATTGCATCGAACGTCAAAATGATGTTGATCCAATTCAGTTGATTTATTTAAAAAGAATAAGGGATATGGCTGCACAAAAAAGAGCATGTTCTTTGAAACAAAAGTCTTTGCTGGATATCTTTTGCAATAGAAAATAAAGAAAAATGTGGTAAAATCAGTAATTGACAAAAAAAATTATAAAAAAGCCGAAAAATGATAAAAATGATTCAAATTGAAAAAAAAAGTTTAAAAAAATCTATTTAAAAATTGAAAAAAAAAAAGTCTTAAACTCGCCAGAGCTATTTTGGATAGTACTGCCAGTCCTAAGCCTAGAAAAAGTGTGAAGGGAAGTTGGTGCATAAATAATAATCATTTAAACTGGGTTTTAAACAACTTTCCAATTATCCGAACATTTCATTATCCGAACCACGATCGGTCCCGAGCAGTTCGGATAATCGGTGCTCTACTGTAGTATTAAATATTGCTAAAAGTAATTTTATGTTAGTTATTGTTGACAGATCATTCTTTTAAAAATAGAAAACTTCCACAAACGAATTCTTTGATTTGTTGTAATCTGTGATGACAATTTTTCTTTTTTATTTATATAACATTTAATTCAGGAAAAATGAAGCTTAAAATAGACTTAAATAAATCCAACTAGAGGAATCCATGACAATGTTTTCTCAGAAACTTGAGATAAATACAATTAATTGAACACTTAATTACAAATGATTTATAAATGAGAGATAAATAAAGCTTTCGCTAATCTTTTTAATTAAAAAAAAATGTTGAATTGAACATAAAATGTTACAGATTTTCAATACTTATTTTAAAGTTACAATCTATTAAAAAATTCTAAAAAAATTATATCTCAAATAACGGAATATCATACTAATATGGACTTGATTTGCTTTAACACTCTTAATTTGAGTAAGATTCTGCAAACAAATATTCTAAAATTAAATTCAAAACCAGCTTTTACCTAATGAAATTTTTTCAATAGATATCTATCTTTTAGCATTCCTCATAATAATTTTAAAATACAATTTCGTCTCAACCCAATCTAAATTACTAACAAAATTAGCTTAAAATGAAATGCATTACATTTTAGAGCTGCAAAATGATGCTCCAAGGAATATAACACAAATTTATTTTAAAAAAGATAGGTAGTATTTAAGTTAGTTAAGTTATTATTAGTTAGTTCATGAAATTGAAGACAAAACTTAAAATAATATTTTTATAGGCATTAAAAAAGCATAATTTATAATTAAACAATATTTTAAGCAAACCAAAATTGTATAAAATTTTTTTTAAATACTACAGTTTACATACTTTGTAAACTGCAGCATTAGTTTACATACTTTGAATTGCATTCGCAATAACGAGAAGCAAATTTTTCCATTAGACGATCAATTTTCTGAGCTTCGCCTGGCAAACGAAATCCTTCAAGAAAATTGCGTAGAGCTGATACAATATCTTTTTCTGCAAAATCCATTTGATCGACATATGCATACATTACTTCCCTGTTGATTCTAATAAATAAAAAAACATTATTAAATAATTTGATATGAAATCTTTTCCCAGAAATTCATTTTTAATTTGAAATTTACATTTTTTATTCATAGAAATTTAATTTGAAATTGAAATAAAATATTTAGTTAATTTTAGTTACTGTTGACATACTATGGTGCAAAACAAATTCTATACGTATCTAAAAACACTATCTAGGCATTCCACAGGACACATCAATTTAATTGCTCTATCAATCCGCTAAAAGTAATTTTCGTTACCAATGCCAAAATTAGCTATGTTCTTACTTATTATGATCACTAGCTTCAGTCTCATAGTCAGTATTTCTAAAATAACATGGTAGTTCATTAACAGGTTTTTTAATATTGTGACAAAATAAAGTTTAAATAAGTAAAATTATGCTATGAAATAGAGACATAAGCTTATTTTCACGCATCTAAGTTTTGTCAATAATCAATTTAAGTTTATGATATTTTAAGAAAAAAATTTAGCAATGTTGTTAAACTAGTTGTGATGTCTAAAAATAAATTGCTTTCTGAAAGAGAAGAGTTAGAATTTTATGCACTATATAGAAGTCATAAGAAATCTATCTATTATTTTAAACGGAAAGAGGATAAAATAAAAATTACTTAATCACATTGTAATTTTGATAATAATCATCTTACTCATAAAATAACCCAAAAGTAAACTTTCTGTAAATTGTCATTTTCGAAAATACATAAATTAAAATTATGTCATTTTATTTACTATGTAAAGAAATTATGTTATTTTACTTTTAAATCACATAAATACCAACATTAATGCATGATTTTTAAACCGCATGAGCACAAATCACGATGTCAGACTTATTACATGAATACACAAAGTGATATTTGTATATGAACTGCAATTCGTGGGCACTTGGAAATCCTGAATAACTCAAAAGTCGAATGATGAAAACAAAATCTTGCTTATTAGTAACAGTAAAATTAAAACTTGGAGAAATATTACACAGGGAGTAAAAATAAAATGCATATTACAAAAATGGAGAGAATTAGCGATACTTAGTGCAATAATCGAAAATCTTTCAAAGCGGAACTTTCTTTGAAGATGTTTTTTTTTTCTAATGTAAAAGGCGAAATAATTCTCTGTTGAAATTATCAGATCACTGATACGGAAAACAATCATCCATGCCTCTGACTAAAAATATGCAGGTGAAGATGTATACAAAAATAAAAGTCAAACTATACAATACTATCTCCAAACAATAGTTTGCACAGCTAGTTATGTTTCAAAGTTAGTTTCTATTTCATTAAACATTTTCACAAATTAGAGGATAAAATTGCAAGCATAAAATACCAGGATTTGCCACTAAATGTCACAAGAAGTATGTTTGGCTCATTTTGCTACAGCTGAATCATTCTCGTAACAGAAGACATAAGATTTTATAGACTACTAAAACTTTTGACATCGTATTGAAAGGAATGAAAAATAGTTTTCATAAGAAATCTGGTTAAGGTTGCAGAAAATGTAAGATTCTCAAAACGGCGACTAAAGGAGAAAAATTTTGCAAACTATAAGTTCTGTTTTAAGTCAGCAATTGATAAACTAAACATTCTTAATGGTTCCAAGATAAAAGCTTTACAATTATGATAAGCATAATTTCAGATTCTTAAAACGGTGACTAAAAGACAGAAAAGGAGGAAAATTTTACATGAAAAATATGAAAAGCCAAAAAAATCTAATGCCTGACCACTAATTATTTTATGCTGGTGGTGAATCAAATTTTAGAGATCTTGGACCTACAGATATAAAAGTTTACCATTTCTATATACTTTATAAAATGTTCTTATCAATAATTGTCAACTTAAACGAAGTTTCCAATTATCGATAATAAGACAAGATCTATTTTTAAATTTTAACATTTGCCTCTGTTGATTTTGATCATTCTGTAATAAGCTAAGAATTTTAAATACTTTATGAATAAAAATCAAATATACCAATAATACATAGACAAAAACAGGTTAAATAGATGATGATAATGGTAACAGATGATGATAATGAAAAAAATTATTAAAAAATATGCTTACATAATCCAAAGACATGTATATTATAAAAAAAAGCACAAACAAAAACACAAAACAAAACAAAAAGCACAAAAAAAGCACAAGCAAAAAAAATGAAATATACAAGTTAAAATAATCTTACTTATTATTGTCACCAAGAAAGTCACCAATCATTGTTCTATTTAATCTTTCTTCAGTGAGCAAATATTCAGCAATATCAGCTGGACTATTTCCCAATATGCCATTTTCTTGCAAATAGGCTATTCCCTTATCAGGTTTTCGGTTGAATCTAGTAATGTGATATTATAAAAAAATAAATAAAATGTTTGTTCTAATGAGCCATAGAAAAAAAAACAATTGCTTTTATGTGCATTTTAAAGAATATCATTAAAAAAAAGTAGAACTTACAAATCATTGCCATGCTCTCTAATTTCTTTTAACTGCTTCATGACTTCAATGTGCTCAGGGTTATCATTTGGAGTAGCAGTGAAACTAGATGATGAGCTTAAAGAATTAATGCTACCATAACTTGTGATAGTTCCTTTCCCAGAATCTATTTCTGAAGTGTCCTTATGCTTCTCAGGTCCTTTAAAAGTAATGTTAATTATAGCACAAAAGTTTAAAAAAAAATAATAATAAGGATAAAAATAGCAAACACAATTCAATTTGACATAATACAGGACGTCCTATAAGTCATACCCCATTTGTGCTATAAATTGCTGCATAGGAAAGTATTGTTAGAGGAATAGCTGGTGACTGTTAAAGGTTATTAAAATTGGGGTGTTTCATGAATATTAACTTTTTCTAAGGAATCTAAAGTTCACATCAACGAGTTCCCAACCACCTTGACAGAAGAAATTAAGGGCTGTATCATTGAAATTCAACCATTCACGAGTCACTGAAAATTTTAAATAAGAGTTCCAACAAAATCTCTGAAGCTGTTTTTTATTTATATGCTATTTTTTGCAAAACCCTATTTGTATGCTTAACAAGTAAATAAAAAAAATTTCATAAAAAATTAAGACACCATAAAAGTATAAAAATCAAACAATTACATAAAATATCACATTTCTTTGTTAAAATCTTTGTTTTCAGGCAAAATTAAATCAGCAAAGTTTAGGATTATCTGTTAATATACATTTCGCTCAGATCATACCAGTTTTAATGCAATGGAAAATTAAATTTGGGCATAAACGTCAATTTTAAAACAGTTAAAACTTAGCTGTTGATTATAAACTTAGTGTAATACTTATTTACAAGAAACAAAGTGTAACAACTTTTGCTATATTCCCAACCACTATTTAATCTATCATATTTTACATTAAGTATTTTGATATAATTCTTAAGACTAATTTTTTTTAAATAGTTATTCTCCCAAAATGAAATAAATAAAATTATAAATCATTACTCTGCAATAATATATTTTACAGAATTTTAAATTAATAGCGCATCTTTAGTCACAGCATATAATAAATGGCTAAGCATAAATTATAGTTTTTAAATAAAACACAATTATAATAATGTAATTTATATTCAGTGGTCAGAAATAGCAGTGCAGTAGTGAAACTGCTGTAGTTGCTACTTTTTTTCATAGTTTGTAGAGTCGCTACTTTTTTTTTCAAAAAAAAAGCAGTGCAGTGAGTAGTTTAATACAAAAAAGCAGTAGTTTGTAGCAATTTCTGGTAACTACTTTTAACATTAGTTTAGCAAAGGAACAAGGTTTTAATACAACTAACTTTTCGAATTTGAAAGGCACAAAGCTTCGAGGGTCCATCAATGGATGCAATAAAAATGCCCTTGTGATTATGACAGTGCCTTAACAAGAATTATGTATTTAGACTCATGTATAACTAATACTCCAAATAACCATTACGAATAAAAAATAATTTATCACTTCTATCACACTTTTACATGCGAATGTACACTGGTGATTACCATCAATGTTGTTTAAAAGGAGGACACATACTTTCGATGTACTTAATTTCTTAGCAAGAATAAAAGAGCATTAAACACTTAACGAAATTTTAAGTATTGAATAATTTCTTAAATTAAACATTCGTTGGCAAGAAAGATATAAAAAGTTTAAAGTTAAATGAACTAATTCGAAAAGAAAAAAAATTTTAGAATAACAAACTGGCTCGTGTAAACATGAATAAATATTTCTTAATTCCTCATGTTTAAATAAGCCAAATCTTTATTGAAAAAAGTTTTGAACATAGGAGTTAATTTCTCCAGCAAACTTCATCTCCTACAAGTAGTGAAATAGTTAATATGTTTAAAAATAATTTGTAGACACTAAATTTAAAAATAAGTAATTGTAATTAACTACATTCACAAAGTTGTTACAAAGTAATAACAAAGTAGCTGTAGGAAACAACAAAATTAATTCTAACCATGGTTTGCAATCTTAAGTTTTATTGAAAATAAAGTTGCATCCTCCGTTAAAAAAAATTAAATATGAAACATTAAATGGTTTTTAAACAAAATAAAGTTTGAAAAAAATTCATTACTGAATGAAATATTAGCATAAGTTTCACTTCTGTATTCATTTATATGGAGGCATATCTATGGTGAGAGGTTGTTTACAATTAGAATCCATCATCCTGAAAATCCTTTTTTCAGATATTTTGAAATTTCAACAATTCCAGGTATGGGACTTTTTCCACTGAATTATTTTAACATAATTACATTCAGAAAAATACTAACTTAAGTTTAATAAAAACATGTAATATATATATCTAAACAAACACCTTTGAGTTACTGTGTATCTAAAATATAAAAATGACAGCAAAAATTACCCAGATTTGCTTGTTGTATTGGATTCACATAAAGGTCTTTGCTCCATTCAACCATACACTTCAGTATACAAACTAGGCATTCAAGACCTTTAATTCTCATAGATTTTTCTTGTGAAGAGGTTGCTCCAAGCTCCAAAGCTTGTCTTCCCTATCATGAAAGGAAGAAAAAAAATGTTTAAAAAAAGTTATTCTTCAATTCAAAAAACCAAACACATAAATGAAAGTGGGAAATTTGCCCGCTCCCCAATTAGACTTTTGGCATACCCAAGAATTACATCATTTTTCTAACAAGTACTAACCGTACATTCCAGTGTAAAAGTCAAGTTTTCTAACCGGCAAAATTTTATAAAAAAATCAGGGGTTGATTATAAATAAAGTCACTGGTAATAAAGTCAGGCATTAGCTGAGCGTGAAATATCAATGCATTATATTAATGAATAAGATAGTAATGAATAACTCTATAACAATTCACCTTAAAAAACTTTTTTTAGTTTGTTATATTCAATTGATTTTGCATTTTTTCATATTTTCTTTACATATAGAAAAAAATTAAGAATAAGAATTTATTGAAGAGTATTTCAAAGAATATAACACAATAAAAACTTTTAAAACGTACCATAAAGGTACAAATTTAAAGATTTCAGAGCATCATCTGTGCCATATTCAATAACTGTTTGCTTCGCAGCATTTGTCAATGCATCGTTATTTGAGGAGGCATCTCAGAGCATCTTTATTTGAGGGCAAACATATCATATCCACAGAGAACAATGCAAAATATTTTTAACTAGCAAAATTTGTAGACTTAATATTTTTTTTCTCCTTTTTTAATCTTAAAAATTTTTATATTTAATTTTCTCAGCGGTCGACTCATACAAGGGATATATGGTATTTTCCTGAAGAATAAATTTTATCAACAGATAGAGCTACTGATAAATTTTAATACTTTTTCACATAATACTCATTAGCTAATCTGATTCGATTTATTTTATACTATTTATTTGTAATTTTTGACAATAGATTGTTTTATATTATTATTATTATTATTATTTTTTTGGTATCCCACTTTGTAATGAAGATAATGTTTAACAAGTTTCAGGACTTCAGAGTAAAACTGAAACTATTTTTCTAGAGCATATATGTGATTTTTATTTTTTGATTATAATTTTAATGTTACATCTACCACTGTTATTGAAATAAAAAAATATTTATTAGAAATAAATTATTAATATTACTGAATGCACCTTCACATCTTAAAAAGTGATCTTTTTTTTAAGTTTAAGGTTTAATAAAATGTTCAAATAATAAGATCGCTTCATACTATTTATAGTAATTAAAATTGAAATCATGTTGCTTATATTAAGTTAATCCTTAAGGCTTAGTTCATTTGCAGTTAATTGTAAGCATGGTGGTAATTGACATTTATAAACAAACCTTTTCTATGTAAATATTCATTAAATTTAAATTCAAATATTATAAAGGTAAAATGAGCTGAAATTAAAATCTGTAGTAATCAATCAATGTAGCATTCAATGTGTACAAACAATTACATATTTCAGCACACAAATCTGAGCAATATTGATTAAATTTAAATTCAAATATTGTAAAGTTAAAATGTGCTGAAATTAAAAGCTGTAGTAATCAATCAATGTAGCATTCAATGTGTACAAACAATTACATATCTGAGCACACAAACCTGAGCAATTTTCGATAGGTCATTGACTAAACGTTCAAAAATATTAGCAGCAGTAAAATCACAGTCATAGTTCACATAAATGTCAACAATACTTTGAGCCTCTGGAAAAGGGAAAAAATAAAATCAGAAATTCGAAAACAGGTTTCATAATTAAAAGTTTAAAATATATATGTAACTATTTAAAAGAATTTTTAGCTCTTTCTTGAGAATAACGGCTTAACTGATTGCTTTTTGTTCAAAGTACAATTATTTTGTCATACTTCGTATAAAAAAAGTAATGAATAAAATTTTAATATTCAGACAAATTTGTTAATAATAAAGCAAATGTATGAACAAACTTTTAATTAATTAGAGAAAAGGAGCTAAATACAATGCTAAAAACAATAGAAGAAATAATTTCCTGCACTGTCTCTTCTAAAAGGAATATACATAAATTATCTTGTCTCCATAATAGAACCCTTCTAGATGTTGCAAGTTCACGTGGCACATAGAGGCTGAGACAAAAACAATGGGTTAAAAAACAAACAATTGAAGTATATGGTCTAAGAAAAAACTGTTTTCTATTTCAATAAATTAATCCCTTCAAAATAATATAATATTTACTATCATTTAAGTTAGTAAATTACTTTTTTAATTTTTTAATTTTTTTTAAAATTTTAATTGAATAATCCCTTCTGTCATTTGTTACCCATTAACTCACTGTCAATGAAAAATGTTTAGTTTTCAAAGTGCACCTGTAACACCTGTTTTCTAGGAATTAAAAATAAATAAAATTTCCCTCGTTATATTGGAATAAATGGACCACTTCAATAGCTCTAATGGGTGTTAAAATGACACGATATCTACAGAACAGTAAACGGGACTTCATGTCTCGGTTGTTGTAATGAAAAGGTCACAGTAATGGGAAGTCGTACTACAGAGCGTACTGATTCATAATGAGCTCTAGGATAATTTTAAAGTGAAAAATGAATAACGAGGAGGAAAAAAACAAAAATAACTTAGACAAGCATAATACAAAATTTAACTGTTGATTTTTATATGTTAATCTAACTTTCAGATAAACAAAAATATTTACAAACAAATTGACGGAGTGATAGACCTTAGCTTAAACTTAGAAGTGCAAACATTGTATACAGTTTTCTACCATGGGCCTCATCTCATCCACTGACATGTTATTAATGACTTTACACAATAATTTTTTTAGGGATGTTTCAAGTGGTTAAGTTCAAATCCTTATCTCTAAAAGTGACTTAATAGAAAAATCAATTGAATTCAAGTGTATCGAATATAGTGGCAATTTTCTTGTATGTGTGATAAGGAAGACAGGAAAATATGCCTTGAGTATTTTAGATTTCAGAGCTAAAATAAAATCCTTAAATCAAGATAATACTTGCACATTTTATGGTTTTGATAGCTATATTTTGGAGGGTAAACAAAAGTTTTAAAAAAATCTATAGAAAGTACTAAGACATTTATGCAAAATACTATTTAGATAGATAGATAGTAAAAAGTTTTGATTTTTATTTAAATAATTTCTTTAATGTTGTGTGGATTACTCAAGAAGTTAATAAAGAAAATTGTATACCAGCACATATTCTAGTAAGGGCTTGAATAACCATCCATTTGTGTTCATATGAACTATTTGAAGTTTCTAAAATATTTAGGAATATTTCTTTAAAGAAGACCTGAAAAAAAATATTACATGTAAGAGATATCTTGAAAAACAATTCATGTTAATATTAACAAAATATAAAGAAAAGATACTACTGCTTACTTCAATTTGCATCTTTAAATGAGTCTTGAAATTTTGAAGAAGAGTTAAAAATATTGATAGAGATAGTTCAAAGACTTCCGGAATTGAGGATACCCCATTTTTTGACAAGGCAACACATAAATATTGTTTGATAGCATTGATAAACATTTCAGTGGATTTAAACACTGGCCCTGCTCCCTGAAGAATGGTAAGTAATAGTTGAAGAGAAAGGATTTTTGATCGTAGCTCATGAGACCTAGAAAAAATGCCAAAAGTAAATATCACAGAATTAACAATGCTATGGGCAGAAGAAAAAACCACTCTAATTTGTGCTTTGGATAAAACATGCAAAATTTGCTACACAAAACTTTCTGAAACTGTACAGCAGTTTACAAAACTGCCTAAAAGTGAATTAAAATGTTCAAACTCGAGAATTCTGAAAAGAGGTAAAATTACCAATCGATAAGTAACTAAAATATAAATAACTAAGCATATATTTTTTAATTAAATGTAATTTTAAATGATTAAATATTAGGACTAATCTAAATAAATCTTAAATCAAATCCACAATTCCTTTAAAACATTCCCACAAACAAATAATAGCTTTTAAATAATTGTGCATTTGATGTTGAATGATAATGAATTTGACGAAATGGCCATGTGACAAATAGCTTGGATTACATCGCTTGTTTTCAGAAATATATCTTCACATTGTCAAGAGTTAAATTATTTTTCTTATCTAACTGCAACACGTAACACATCATAAGACTCTGCTTTCTTCTCTTAAGACTTTTGAAATACATCACTTAACAAATTAATATCTAAACATGTATATACACAGACAATAGAAACTATTTGGGGGCCGGGATAGCCTAGTTGGAATCGTGTCGCGAGTTAGAATCCCACCGCCCAAAAAAACATGGTGCATTAAAGGTGACTGGTGTACATTAGATCTGTTGGGGTCACAAAGTCCCCCAAGTTCCCATAACAAATCAATACCTCTGGGGGTAATGAAGTGGAGATTATTACTAACTGAACTGAATCTAACTGAAATTAAACAATAAACTTGTGAATGTCACTGAAATGTTAAAAAAAAGTATTAATAATAACAGCCTGCTCAATAGAGAAATAAAATTTACACAAGAAAATCAGTTACTTCTTTTGTTTATGATATCTCATCATCATTACCAGCACAGGATTTTCATAATTTATAAGTTCACGGTAGTTTAAATTCGTATTTGATCCTTTTCATGTTAAAAGCCAGTTCTTAACATTTGTTCTTTGTTTCAGGTCAAAATTATCTGTGAACGAATTAATAGATTTATGAATGGGTCCGCCCTGTAAAATGGAGTGTGACGAGTAAGTGGTTAACCACTGACCCTTTCAATATGTGCCACTTGGGACAGGTGTCTATATGTATGCATATTTTAAAATGAATTACAAATTTTAAGAAATTTCATCATTCATATTCCATATTTAGACTTAACTATTAAATCAAGTAAAAATTTTTAAAAAAAAAATAATTTAAAACCTACAAAATTTTGTCCACAAAGCACCTATTACTAATCTATGCAGAGTTTAGAGAGTTCACAATAATTTCACATGCTGTTATTTTATCAAATGACCTAAAAAAAGTGTTTAACAAATGGTAAATCTTTTTTAATGTATTTATTTTTCTTTGATTTTTTTTTTAATAATTTCTGAACATATGAAGTTTTGAAATAATTTATATTAATATATTTACCATCCCCCCTAAAGGATTTTCATAATTTATAAGTTCATGGTAGTCTAAATTTGTATATGATCCTTTTCATGTCAAAACTCTGTTTTATGCATAAAACTATTTTGACAATTTCTGAAGCCTATAGGATTGTTCTAAATATTAACCAATTTTGGACAATTTAAGACATGAAAAGTTAAGACCTGGTAACCTAAAAATTACACTGATAAATAGTGCATATAAAAATTAATTCAAACTATATTACTTAACTTTCCATTGAAACCAGCTATTAAAATAATTTTTGTAAACATCTTTCAGTCATGAAAGCTTTATAAAAACAGTTTAATTAAGAAAATACTAAAGTTAAATTTCAGTTTTATTCCAATTATTTTAATTTTTAGCATTATCAAAATATAACCACTACAAAATATAGTCTTAAACAAAATAGTTCAAGATAGTTTTTGTAAATTTTACTGTTGAATCCAGGTTGTTGTCAGCATTAGCAAAAGTAATAATTTGAGTAAAAATAAATTCCATATTTTCAGTTAACTGCATGCAGACATATTTTGCTGTTAGTATTTCAAATAACATTCACTACAATGGTTAGTAACAACAAACTGCTATGATGATGAAGTTTACTGAGCAACTAACTTAATTTTAAAATTAAAAGAAATTTTTACTTTTGTTCCACCGGCAGTAAAAGTGATTCCAATGTTGAAGTAAAAGTAATACTTTTTCTTTGTTCCCATATATATATCATAAAGCTACAATAGAAAAATATGAATATTTACTTAGAAAAACTTTTGTTAAAATTTCAGGAAATATGCCAGAGCGTTTTATGATTTTAAATATGTTATGTCACAGATGGTGCATCTACTTCCTTTTTCTGAAGCATTTTATTTTACTGAATGAATTCTGTAAAGTTTAAATGTCCCCCTACCACTTTACAGCTTTTGAAGCTTTCAATTTATATACTTCAAAATACTTTTTTTTTTTAAATTAATTCTACTTATTCATTGCTTTTCGCCATTTGATTATACTTAAATCAGTTATCTTCTAGAATTAAAAGATATAGCATGTTTGAAATTGTTCTACATGGTAAAGTTCTCCACAATTTTAAACAAAAAATAAATTAAATCTATTACAGCTAATTAAAAGATCATGCATATTATTTCATTGTATATTTTCATTTAATTTTTAACTGTTTAAAAATAAAAATAAAAAATTGCAGGGGGGGGGGGGTTTATAAATAATCTTTTACATTTGCGAATAATCAACAAAGTAAAATTTAGTACAGCACATGTCAGGAAATACTCTTTTCTTTTTATCAAATTTCATGTTATTGGTATACATAAATTAAGCCACTTGAATGTGCAATATTACAGTAGTGAGTTTTGTTCATCACAAGCAATTTGCCTGTTGACAGAAATTACAGTGCAAATAGAAAAAAAAATACATGAAATACAAGAACTGTAATCAGTGAAAATATATACAAATGCCCTAAAATTATTATATAAAATCAAAGATTTCACTACTTCAAAAAAATCTTTTTTATAACAATGAATAACCCTAGATTTTTTTATAATACTTTAACCCATTAACACAGTATTTTTTCAGATTGCAATGATGTCTAAAGTGCAGTTGTTAGCCAGTAGTAATGGCCAATTTTGTAGTGAGAGGTAGTGACAAGCAAGTTATCATGACCAAGAGGCTACAATGGATTAAAATAAAAGATACCTGGAAAAAAAACATTTAAAAACATGCACAATCTTTTAAGCTAAATAAATACAGTAAAACAAAAGCATACTTAGGATCTGGTTGCCCTTCTGGTAATGGCTTCATGCTTAGTTTACACAATGATCGAAAAACTAAAAATGCATCTTTCTGCAATACATGAGAAAAGCTTGCTTGAGAAGTTTCTATATTGCCTTCATAAGTTTCCAGACTTTCCTGTGAAGGAAGTCTTTGTAAGTTGTTAGTTGATCCTCTTGAGGAGGAAGGACTCGAATCTTGAGCTTCAGGTATAGAATTAAGCAGCATATCTTAAAACAATAAAAAATAATTAATAAAATATTTTTAACTCTAACAAATGATAATATTAAAATTTGTGATAAACCTATCAAATCTTTAAAATTGCTGAATATTTTCGAAAATTTGTTTTCTCTAGTACTGTATTGTGTTTCTAATCCTTTTTAAATGTCAATAATACCCCCTCGACATTTTTGAAATTATGAGCTCTCCAGATACTTGACGAGATATAAAACCAAGTAGCAAAAATCAAATAATGGGCAAAACAAGTTTATTGCTCTTCTCTACTGCAAAAACAAATTCAGGGCCCTCAGCTAATAACCAATGATCTAGTTCGTTTCCACGTAATGACTCCAGCATGTGGACATGAAGCTCACTAAACGAGATATAAAACCAAATAGTAAAAATCATATAATGGGCAAAACAAGTTTATTGCTCTTCTCTACTGCAAAAACAAATTCAGGGCCCTCAGCTAATAACCAATAATCTAGTTCGTTTTGGCAGGCTTTTTAAAAAATTACTTATTGAACTATTGTGTTCGTCAAATTGAATATTATTTTCTAAGACAATCAGCTCAAATAAATCCGTAAGCTGCATTTACAGACTTAGCTTAAAGTTGTAATTACTTATTTAATCACTAACCACAGAGAAGTCTTTGTTTATCCACAACTGTTTTAGAATGAATTTTGAATCTTTAGATGCTTTTTAAAACTTTCAGCATCACAGGGCCTGCACTAAGCATTTGCCTTTTTACCAAATTCGATAAAATCATGAACTTGGCAAGAAAATTTGGTTTTGGCAAATGATTTTCCCGACCAAAAAGAAATATATATTCCCATCAATACCGGGGAAAAAATCAATAAAAAAGATCAAAAGGATTTTGTTTTTGAACAAATCCTGTATTTTTTTATTCAATTACAGTAATTTCCATTGGATACATTGCCAAACTAATTAGAATTATAATAAGTCCAGATAATGTAAACATAAGCAACAAGAGAGATTACATAAGCTTGAGACAAATTACCATAAAATACAAATTAATATGTTCTTTATCAGATAGCATAATTTTTTGTGATGAAATTGTTTCTACAGGCTGTGTCAATAAAACAGATTAAGTGGTAGCAAGATGAATATTATTATTCAATTATTTAAGTAGAAAATATATTTTCTTCTGACATAATGTTACGTCAGGCTTATCTTATACTAGTGCCTCTAGCCTAAAATTTATTAAATTTGATTTGTTTTTGCACACTCAGAAATTTAGGAAGAATAAATCATTGCATTAAGCATTTTTTTTCCTTCTTTAGATCAGAATACAAATACTTTAAAGGATAAAATCCTAAATACAAAGATGGCAAAAACATTTTAATGCATTCAGTATTCTAAAAAATATTGAACAAACCTGTGTTACTTATTTTAATAAGCCTAAAGCACATGAAATATGAAAACTAATTCAGAATATACAAATAAAAATTAATTAACATTGAAAAGGAAAGTAAAAATTCAAGGATTTTAAACAGAATATCAAAAAAATATACCTGCACAAACATTGGTGACCATGTCTTCAACCAAAAGTTTAACTTCTGCATTAATATTTTCTTGTTTTACATTGTCAGAGATTTTATTTTGGACTTCATCTGATTCTGTATCTTTTTGCTGTTTATCTTGAACAATAGCCTATTTAATAAAGAATATATTTCATAAACAAACTAACATTAAATATTTTTAAAAAAAAAATGGCATGGTTAAAATAAAATAGGCGCATAAAAAGACTCAAAAATGAAAAAATATTTAATTATATCTATGAGCATGATATAATTATTATAATAGTGGCCAATTTGCTCTCCTAATACCAACTACTATTAATTAGGTATCTTACGATGTCATGTTAATCTCTTTCTTCAAACTAATTAAATTAAACTTAAAAGGATAAAACAAATAATTTAAATATTTAAAAAGAAAAATAGTAAAAAAATAAAATAAGACACTTACAGCAGCGTGTACTTCCATCCGTGTGAAAATAACATTGAGCATTTGTGTAAGAGTTGCTCTGGCTGTTGTTTGATTTATTAAATTTTTACTAGCCAAATAAATATTATAACAAGTTCTCACTGCCAGCAAAATACTCCCTTCATGAACTTCACAGGCTTGAGATGTCACAACCGTCAAAAGAGCCTAATATAAATAATGGGAATTAATTATTCCAAAAAATCATTAAAACAAAAAATTTAAGAAAAATCTAATTACTATTGTAATAAATACAATATATATAAGATTAAACAATGATATGCATAATCCAACATTTAATTTAAGAAGTATAAATAATATTATGTTTAAGACATTATGCAATTATAATTCAAAACAAAAACTATAAAATAATAAAATGAAGTTTCCCTCTGATTTAATTTTTATTACTGGCGGAATTTAACAGACGTTGCTAGGATTCAAACCTGGGTCACCTCATTAAAAGAGGAACACCTTATTTTGGTAAACAATGAAGCTTAATTATAAACTAATTAAATTAATGTAAAAAAAAACAGAGAATTTCCTAACTTTTACAGAGAGGTAGCAATACAATTAAGTTTGGACTACCTAATTATATAAACATTTCCATCAAAAATGTATTTAACCAAATAAATAAATAATATTAACTTAAAACACATGTAATATCAGCAATAGTGTTTCTCAGATTAAAATTCATTCATTTCTTTTTTCAATTAGAAGTAATTCTTTTTATTACATTCATAGCTAATTTGGAAAGAAAAAATATGTAGCTTACTTTAATAATTTGCAATTGAATGCCATCATCAGTGTTGGGACCATGAAAACAACTACAAATCGCTTCAACAATTCTATCAATTAACAATTTATTTGGATTGGCAGGATCGGCAATACTTCCAGTTAAATGGCCATAAGCAATTAGTTTCTGAAGATAGAAATTACAGTTAGTAAGAATAACATTACTAGACATGTGTTTCTATGAAGAATAAAAACAAAAAAATAATATTCTAAAACAGTTGTATGTTATTAATCAAAAAAATATCTTACTATAATTTTTTTCTTCTCATAAATTATAAATTAACTATAAATTAAATTAAAAAGCATCAAAGGCAAAATCTAAGCCCATTAACTACACAAGGGGAAAAAATTTCTGTTTGTTTGTTTTCCATTAAATGATATTTTTTAAAAAGATCTTAGATATACTATAGAGAGATTAAATACTTTCATATCACTGATTTTAAATCTGCAATCAGTTTCTCTCACCACACTACAATTTTTTCTTAATGGCATTTTAAATCTATTTTTTGTTGAGATGTACAAATTTAAAAGCATTATAAATAACATGAGGTCAAGTAAATGTTGCAACAAACTTCTTTGGGTGATAGGGCACATCATCAGGACTAAAACAGCATAAGAACCCATGCCCAAAAATGTCATCATATGCTGCTAGGGGTGCTTTTCTATTATGATTTGTCTCTTTGTGTGCTAGTAAAGAGGTCATAATAGGAACGCAACACAACCCACAATTGACAACATCTTTGGGCATGGGTTCCTAAACAATTTCAATTCTGATAATATATCCTAACTCCCCTAAGTTTGTCTCAATATTTATGCAGCCCCTGTTACATATGTTTCTGAACTTGTGTATTTCAACAAAAAATAGACTAAAAATGACTTTTTTTTAAAAAAATCTGTAGTTTTACAAGTAAAATTAATGTCAGATTTGAAAATTCTTCATTCGTATTAGGCATTTGTATAAATGCATTAAAATTTTTACTCCTCAGAGTTATTGCTAGTCACTATTAGACAAGTATCTTAAATTTAATATGATCTTTTTCTTCAGTGAAAAAAAAATTACTAAAGGGAAAATATAACATACACATTTAAAGAATTTAAACATCACAGTAACATAGATAAAAAAAAATTGCAATAATACCAAACATATAAGAACACATTTTTTTTATAAAATAAAATAGTAATAAATAAATAAAAACGTTATAAGCAAACAAGTGATAAATACAGATTTGTCTAAGGAAAAATTTTATTACCTTCAAAAAAGTGATGTTCTGAGTAATAAACAAATTTCAAGAAAACTTTAAGTATTATATTATATATTTTAAGAATAATTAACAGTGGAAGACACCTTTTTAGAAGAAAGGAACATTTTCAATTCAATTTATAAGAGAAGATGCAATGCTGAATGAGTTAAGTTTAAATAAATAAAACAGTTATAAATCATTAAAAAATTCAATGGTTGGTTGGCTTATTGAACTTAATTGGCATAAGAGTCAGAACCACCAATCAATAAACAATTTATACAAAATCATAACATATATATAATCACTCATTTCATTTAGTAATTTAGTTAAATTTTTATTAGTTCAGTTCTTGTTTTGCAATCAGAGAAGTTAAAAATACTTGAAAAGATTTTAAGAATGATAACTTCTTTGTCAGCCCAACAGCCCCTTGCAGGCCTTGGCTGCCCCAACAGCTGACAAATGTCAGTGCCTCCTATCGATGGCAACTCCCTTCCAATTTCTAATCTTTAGGGTTAGAATGATAACATTAGGTTAAAATTTAAATCATGTTTTTTATTCAAAATTAATAGATTAATGGGCGTGATGACAATTAGCCTTGTGAACACATCACCAGCAGAAAAATACATCAGATGATTACTTTATTTCAGGAGACTTCTTATTATTTCCTTTGAGTAACCATAAATTGAGAACTATTTGTTAATGTGATTTTTATTTTAACTCAATGGTTTTCCTTTTATTTTTTAATGAATCATTTTTAAATAGCTTCTTTCTTTTTTTTAACTCTTTTAAATGGATTGTGGTCAATCTTTTTATATACTCTTCATTTGCTTTTCGTACTTCTAACTTATATCAAACTTAAAAATCATTCTTATCTGAAATAATTACCAAAAAGAAAGAAAAGCAATAAATGGATAGAGGCTCACAAACTTATTATTTGCTTACATATAACTTAAATTATAAAATAGATTTTTATATGAAATAATTACTAAAAAATGCAAAATGAAATAAAAAGAACCATTTATTCATACATGAATTTAGGAAATTCAGTTTCTTATTAAATTATATTTTTATGATACTTTAATTAAATAACCTGTATGCAATCAATAGCTGTTATTACAATCCGTGGGGATTTAGATTGAGTAGCTAATTCAAAAGGAAGAAAATATTTCTCCGCTTCAAGATTCCCAGCTTTTGATTTTGGCAGAGGCAAACAAGATGAAGTCTTCTCCTCTTCACTGTCAATTAAAAGAAAGAATAATTATAAAAATCTTAATTATTAACAATAGTGAAAATTCACTAAGATTTTTAAAAAAATTTTAAAATATAACTAATAAGTTTCAATATGAAATAAAAAGGCAATATAAGGCAAATTTTGATTAAACCAAAACTCAAATTCACAATTAACAAAAATTTTAAAAAGTTGTAAAAAATAAAATTGATCCAAAAATCTGTATAATTTCAATAGTAGACTATTTCTTATCTTTTTTTGTTGTTCTTTTTTAACACAACCAACCATTTTCAGAAATTCTCTCATTTTTTATATTGTATCATTGTATTTTTGTAACTTCATATTTTTTCATTGGAAGTAAAATATTCTACATAAACTAAACTTATATGTGTTCGAAATACAAATACTCCTTTTAGAACTTGTAAAAGTTCTGAAAGGGGTACAAGTTTTAACTCCTTCCTTCTCGCTCCCGTGAAAATGACGGGGTGAGATCTTGCTCGTTATTTCTCGCTTTCGTGATATTGACGGGCTGGAGTGTTCAGTAGTAATGCGCCAATAAGAATAAAACTAATTAATTTCTTTTGGCCGGAAAACATTTGATTTCTCATTTTACATACCATATAGCAGTACCAGGATATTTTTAAGGTAATAGTAAATAGTTAGTTTATTTTAAATTAGATATTAGCACTAATCAAATACGTGTATTTGGCAAAATAGACACTTTTATGACCGTTTTCTTGAAAATTAACCGATCGTTAAGGGGTTAATACTTGTACTCAAATAAGTATTTAAGATGCATGTGAATGTGACTCAAATAGCAATGATTGGAGAACACATAATTTAATTCTTACGTGCTAATGTTTTTTTTTAACAACAATTAAGAACCCCACTCTTTAATTTATTCTACTTCATCTGATGAAAGTCTACAAAAAAGTCATCATCACCCCCATCCAAAGAATTAAAAATTCCACACTTTTTAAAGATTTTACAAAAAAACATTTATAACAAAATAAAATACAAAAGATTTTGCAATAAAATAGAATTTTTTTTAAAAAGTAAATAACTTAAATCTTAGGTGTTAAAAATTTTTTTAACAATTACAAATCCCACTCTGCAATGCATTCCACTTTATCTTCAGAATCCCACAAAAAAATCTCTTTCACCCCATCTAAAAAGAATTCGAAATTCGACACTTTTTCAAAGATTTTACAATAAAATAGAAAATTTTGCTAATTGTTTTTTTTTTTTCTTTAGTGGTCAACTTATATGCTGATACAAAGAAATTTTCGATCTCCTAATTAAAAATAGGGGGAGGGGGTTGATTTATACACTGAGGTGTACAATAAGTTCAAATAAAAGGTTTTGAAAATCTTATAAATTAATAACTTTTTTAAACAAAATTGTACAACTTCTATGGCAATGGCACCAGTGCATAGAAATGTATAGAACTTTCTTATAATTTGATTTAACAAAAAAAAGTTCAGTTTTATTTCAAGAAATTTATAGTAAATTATTAAAATTGGAATCTTTGAAATTTGACAGGACAAAAACATGTCTTACAGTGCCATTATTCAAATGTTCCAGCCTAACAATTACTGGAAACTTACTTGGTATTGTAACTGTATTCTTTTAGCAATTGATTTTAATAGACTTTTACATGCCTTTTTTATAAACAACAATAGCCTGTTATATGAGTAACATCTAAATTAATGGTTTGGAACAAAAATTATTATATATGATGAAAAAATGTACATATAACAGGAAAAAAAATGCTTTGAATAAAGAATTTTATAAAAAAAATTGAACAGATTTCAAACAATAATTTTCCTTGCCTAGCAAAAAATTTAAGATAGCTAAACACCTAGATTCTTTTTTCCATGGTCGAAGAATTTAAAAATGTAATTAATAAATTGTACATATCCAAGCGATATGCACATATGTTACGGTATAAACTGGAAATCCAGTAAGTCTTAGGTTTAACTTTTACCAAAGTGGTTTGGTAAAAGTCAGAAGTATACTTTAATATGATTGTATTTTGGTCTTTTACCAAGTATTTGCAGTAAAACTTAGGAGATACCAAGTCACTTTGGTAAGTCCTAGATTTAATCAGTAAAATCAGAAAACTGGTAAATTCTAGTTTTTATCAAAGTGGCTTGGTAAAAGTCTGAAATATTCTTTAATATAATGTTGTATGGGTCTTTTATCAAGCCTTTGGAGTAAAACTTAGGAGTTACCAAGTAACTTAGGTAAATCAAAGGTTGTATCGATAAAATTAATAATTCACTCAATATTGGGCTTTACAGACATTTACAATTGTATACATATCCACATGTGTATACATAGATATTATATATCATGCATTTAAAGTTCAACTTGGATTAAGCCAAAAACTATTATTAGTTATATGGTCGAACCTCGTTAGCACAAAACTGGGGGACTATCATAATTATTTATGTTAGTAAATAATTATGAATAATAGGCACTCGAAATGAATAATTGGCACTTTATTCAAATGCTTCTTATCTGTGTTGTGTCCAGCTTCCTTTCATGTTAAGCGATAACCAGTTTGCAAATTTCATGTTGAACATGTATAATACAATAATAATTGATTGCTGACTCACGGGACCAGACATGTGTCTCATGTAAAGCTATATTTCACGCTAAGCGATTTCGCGTTAATGAGGTTAGAATGTATTAAATGTTTTTGTTGGAGAAAATAAAATATGTTTCTAAGCTATCTGAAAGAAAAAAAGAAAAGAAAAAAAAAAACAGGAGATAACGTTTACCTTAAACTGATGTGAGGATTTTAGAGATACTAGCAACACTTTCACAATTTAACTACAATGCCATATTCAATAAAATCATATTCATTAATTAATGTTTTTATATTTTATAACCGTCGTCGAACAGCCGACCAAATTTTAGGTTTACGACTACTACTGTTAAACTCCGTAGCCTTGCGATTTTGAACCCAATCCAGTAGACAAGAAAACTTCTGAATCAAGTATTGGGAGAAACTTTGCCTCCGAGGAGGACTTTTTGATGGAACTAACCAGCATTTGCGTTACATGGAGAGAGAAACCACGGAAAACTTCCACGGATAGTCTGATGGCAAGGGGCTCTAACCCATGATCTGTCAGCCACTAATCAAACTTTATGTCAGCATTGTGGTCGGTGCGAGGCGGGTACCGAATCCGCATCGACCAGCCATCACTGAGATTCGAACCTAGTTCACCTCATTGGGAGAAGAGCCCCCTATCCTTCTGAGCTACCCTGCCTCCATAATCATTCAATGGTATGAATGACTTAACAATAATAATTTCGAAAATTACACTTTCTAGAAAGTGTTTTAATCATGAAATTTTATTTCTTCAGTTATATCATAGCAATTAATATAAAAAACTATATGTGATCACTGTATACGGATAAATTAATAAAATAGTTAGATATTGATTATAACAATTTATACAATATAGACATAATAGAATGAAAAATATTTTTTAACAAATTAATACAATAATTACAAACTTACATATTGCTGAAAAGAAAAGAAAAAAAAAAATTTTTTACATATACTTTGAGACTATTAAAACATATATATTTTTTCAATTCAAAATAGTAGCTGCATTTAAAACCTGGACAATTTTAAAATATATATGCAAAAAAAAAACAGATACTTTAAAGATACAGATATATTTGAAGATTTCCAATTTTTTTTTTTTTTTTTTTTTTTTTTTNTTTTTTTTTTTTTTTTTTTTTTTTTTTTTTTTTTTTTTTTTTTTTTTGAATCACCTAGTAAAATGTTTCTTTTTTCTTTTTTTTAATATATATTTCACATTTAATAAAACAGTTGTAAGATTTATTTTAGAGTAAGGGAATTAAATTCATAAATATAACATGCAAGTAACTAAAATAAAATTGACTAGAAAATGCAAAGGAAATGATAACTTATGTATACATGCATCGCTTGATAGTCAGAGCTGGATTATACCTTTCGTAGGCCCTAGGCACAGCCGTTTATGGGCCCTCCCCTCCTTCCCCCACTCCTCCCCTCTTTTCAAAATATATGCTGAAATTTTCTTCGTATGGAACTGTATTATGCCATTTTAGATGTATTAATTTCAGAAATGACTAAAAGGCGTAAAGCTTACAGTGATTTGTACGATAATTTTGGTTTTATTGTTCACAAAAATTTGTCAGAATCTAAGATTAAACTGAAAGCGCAAAATTTGGTGAAAATTTACTCATCCGATTTAGAGGAAAACCTTGTAGATGAATTTTTACGATTTTCAAATTTGTATGAACATAAATCTGCACAAGAAATATCGAAGGCTCAAATTAAAGATAAACTTGTGAATACTTTTCCTAACGTTCACATTGCATTAAGAATATATTTGTCGATTCTTGGATCAAATGCAGAAGAAGAAAGATCTTTCTCCAGATTAAAATTGATAAAAAATTATTTGCTTTCGGCAATGAATCAAGATCGTTTGGCATCGCTTGCACTTAAGTCTATTGAATCCGACATTTTGCGTAGTTAGGAATTCGACAGCATAATACAAGATTTCGTTGAATCCAAAAATCGCAAAAAAGTAATATATTAGATCATAAGATTCTGCAAAATAATTTATTACCGTAAAATATTATATTTTTATTTGTATCTTCATAATTTTGTGCAAAATACACTTGTTGTTTTTAAAGCTAAATTATTTTTGTCAACAAATTTTTTTCTCCCAAGTTTTTCTTAGGCCCCTGAATTTCGTAGGCCCTAGGCACGTGCCTAGTGTGCCTATAGGTCAATCCGGCCCTGTTGATAGAGTAAAAATAATCATTAAAACAGTTCTACAATGTAAAATAGAAATTAATACTTTTTCACATCAATTATGACAGAATAAAATTTTATTTTACTATAAAATTAATTAGCACAGAGATTTAATAATTGTCTATACATTTTAATAAGAAAACAGAAATTGGAAATGCATTTCCTATTTTTTCCAACATATAACTTCATATTTTTTTTATTTATTTATTTTACTATTTTTTTTTAACATGAACTGAATTCGAATATATTTTATAAATTTCAAAAATAAGAGAAAAAAATCATATTTTTTGAGCAATATAAAGACTAAAGAATTTTGAAACATGTAAATAATCAACAATTTAAAAACTTTGATTCATTAAATTTTCATAGCTCACCCTGTATTAGTGGAATCCCTGAAAAAAAAGTGAAATACTAAGTGTAAGAATTGAGATAAATAATCAAAAAAATAAATAACTAACAAATTAGAAATAAACAGACACTTAAAAAAAGATAAACATGATTTTTTTAATTGCAATAAAATAAACAAAATTTGGAAACTAAATTAATAAATAAGATTTCTGTCCATTTAATTATGAAATTTCTGACACTTTTATTGAGTGACATTTCAGCTAAGTCATTTGACTTACATTATTAAAAACTAAAAGTTCAAATAATAATTCTGAAACTTAATTATCAGGTCAAAATGAAAAATATCACATAAACAGTAAAATAATTTCACCAAAAAATCTGGTAAGCAAATGAAATCTTAGATAAAAATTAAACAAATACCTGTATTGTAATTAAATACAAACTTGAATATAAATATTTAAAAAAAAGAAGAAAAAAATATTAATAAAGAAAAAAAATTCAGAAAGTATGATGCAATGCATAATTTTAATTGAAATAAAGCTACATTATTTCTCATAGAATTAATAAGAAAAAGAGTTAAAAACTTTTTTTTAATAAACTTATCAAAAAGAATATTAATGGCCTTAATTTTTAGTATTTTATTTCCATATATTTGAGAAATATGAATTACATTAACATTGCAAAATTCATAATTTAAATTTTATCATTAAATTTCTCGTTTAAACCTAAATAATACTGTAATTTTACAGATTTTAATCAGAAATATTCTTTAATTTACTGAATTGAAAAATAATAATAATCTAAATTATAAAACAAGTTAGAATGTCAAATAAATTTTATAGAAAAAGTTTGTTTAAAATTTTATAAAAACAAATTGATAATGTTTTTTACTCCGATTACAAAGTGACTACACAAAAAGTAAAAACACTTGAATAGTTATGTAAGAACATTAAAACAATTTTAAGACAAATATATTACCTTGTTTCCCTGTATTCATTCTTTATTTCTCCTGAAAAACAAAAATAAAAATTAAAATAAAGTCGCAAAACACACTAAAAAATTTAGAGAGTAACCTACACATTTACTACAACTGGAAGGATCTATAAAAGGAGTATCAGAGATATGTACCTTACTTATTTTTTTGTTCCTGAAAAATTTCTCAGTACAGTCGAGAATACATTTAATTTTATAACCTGCGTTTAACAGCCGACCTAATTCTGAGTTTATGACTTTCAATGCTCACTTCTGTAGCCTTGTAATTTTGAACCAAACACAGAAGACAAAGAAACTCCACCTGGATCAAACTTTGGGACAAACTAGTCTTCGTGGCATACTTTTTTATAGAAGTAACCCACATTTGAGTAAAAAGGAGTGGAAAACCACAAAAGTATTATCAGTTAGAAATATGTTAAGGGGATGTTGTCATTGTGGATATTTTACGTAAGTGCTATGGGCGGTGTAAGCCAAAAGCAGATTTCATATAAACCAGCCTCTGCTGGGATTCCAACCTGGGTTACTTTGGGAGAGAAACACTCCATCCCCAGAGCTACTATGGCTCTTAGAAAATATATTAAGTACTTTAACATTTTAGAGTCCAAATAATGCTCGGGAATGAATTTTTCAAAGTAGGCATAATGGTTAAACGGCTTGCGAATTCAGCTACAAATCTACTCTCAGCATTAATAAATTAAATGCCGCTGATTTTCACACTCGTATAATATGCGTGAACGCCGCTCACATAAAATATATCACCACTGCGTAAATTTGTAAATATTACTAAAAAAGAAAAATAATAATATTTTACGCTTTTGCCTACTATTGCAAACGTGATTAAAAATTTACATTAACACGATTTAAAGTCACACATTGTGATACCTTTTTATGTAATTTCAGGTCGTGTATCGTGGTTCGTATTTTCATGATTTTATATCAAATATTGTGCGTCATATTCACACAATTTAAAAGCCAGCCACATTATGATTCGTGTTCAAGTGACTTAATAATTATTTATCGTAATCAGCAATCAAACAATTTTAAAATTAAACATCAAGATTCATATTAACTACATTTCAAAATTAAACATTGAGCCTTGTACTTATGCGATTTTAAAATTAAATGTCCAGATTTATATTCATGTGATTTAAAATTCACTCATTGAGATTCAAATTCACACAATTTAGTTAAATAAATAAAATCTTGCAACAATATTTTTATTAAAACGTGGATGACATTCTGTGAATAAATGTTTCCTACTTAAACCTTTTTCTTCCTCAAATTTCAAGTATCTTTTGAATTATTTTAAAAGTGTTTTTGCATAAAATTTTTTTGGATATCTACTTTCAGCTTTTATGGGTTTTTTTTTTTAACAAATTCATTTATGTGATATAAACCAATACAAAATTCCATAAAAATTCTTAAAAATTCTTCATTTTCAAATAAATTTTGCCAAAATGAGGTAGCGACAGAGGGATAAAACTCGTTACAAGCGTTAATCAATGCATAAAGAAAGTCATTTAATTGAAATTTTGTATTCGCAGAAAGGTTTTCATTTTATCTAAATCTGCTAATTTTTTAATTATTATTTATTTCTGGTTTTTATTAACACAATATATTTTGATAAATAAACTTATTATTGCATCTAATCAAAACATTGTAAACTAAACATATGGTTGGCCTTACATCTTTATGTACACTTTAAGGTTTTTCATTTGAAACTAACATAATTTAGGTCAAGTAAATTTATGAAAAATTCATAAATTATTGCATATTTAAAAAACAATTTACTAATTTCACATGATAAAAAAATTTTCCAATCAGGGGCTATTTTCACAAAATCGATAAGTTTATGACAAGAGTGTGATAAAAAAATTTTTTAAAAAGCTCATTGGGGGGAAAAAATTGAGTTTTAATTCAAAATTCAAATAAATTTTCTCAAAGCTCTAAGTTTAAAAAGAGTGAATTAAAACAGATAGTCACTATTGATTCAATTAAAACGCTTCAACCAACTATAGATAAATTTATTATAAATGGGAGACTACCCTCTCAGTACATGTTCAAATCAAGTAAATAGTAAGCATGCTAAAAGGGTTTTGAACTTCCAAAAATTTGAGGGGGAAAAACTATGCAGTGGTTGGCCCAATAATTGGCTACGAGATTATGCTTTGAATTGGCCCCCTTCTGTAATATTTTTTCTAGATTCTCAAGAATCACTGCACGCTTGTCCTCAAATATAATGACTTTTATGTTGCAAGTACTTATACAGAAATCTTCCAGTTAAATACAAGAGCAAACACAGTCACATGTATTGCAAACAAATGGAGAAAAGTGGAATTCTGTATCGGTAGTTGTGCCAAATTAATAGCCAAACTTCCGGGCAGTGGCCTGCGAGAAACTAAAAAGACATCACGGAGTATTCTAATTTGCAGCTACTCCGGGCAAATCTCTGCACATTTTTTTTTTTTTAAATTTGCAAATTTACAATGCTTAAGGCGCTTTGGTGATTGCCATTTGCACGAACAAGTATCGATGAGGAAATATCCCCAATAGTTAGATGCAATTAAAAAGAACACTAAAATTTTAAAACTAAAAATAAACACATTTCGATAATTAACAATTTATAGTAAATTTAATCATAAAATCAGTAAACCACGGACAAAATTCTTCAGTTTAATAACTATTTCTTAACAAATTACTGACAGAATGAATCAGATTTTTTGCTTTTATAACCTCAGACCTAATGTGACGAGATAATAGCAGGAATGACCGCTACAATTCTAACTGTACAAAAATGAGCAAAATAGATCATGGGTCAAAGTTTATGATTTATTTTGTGTCTATAACGTTGCCTGAAATTAAAATTCTTACCTAAAGCAGTTTCACATGCTTTTCGCAACTGTGTATGATGTGATCGCTTGATTTCGCGATCATTTAGTATTTTTTCAAGAGCTCTAATAATAAACATTTCATTAGTTTTAACACTTTCCCTCATTATAAATAAATAGAAGAGTTAAATAATCATTATTTTGACAGTTCTGATTCAATATCAATAGCCATTAAAACAGAACCAAGTAGCAGACAGCTTAAATTATGTGGACGTCACAAAGCTAAATATTATTACTACTGCCATGTTGTTGATGTCATGAAAATAAGCTGTTGCCGAATTCATATAACCATATAACGCAAAAAAAGAAGAAAAATCTGTATTATCCAATAAAAATAAACTAATAGTTCGAAAAATGAAGCATATTTGGAAGATAGATTCTTATCCTTCTTTAAATCATCAGTTTATGATAGTTTTACAGATTTTAAACTATTTCCAAAATTATGATAATTATTATGTTTTGAAAAATGGCATCAATTTCTCCATAAAATAATACACTTTCTCTCAAATTTTTTCAAAGTATTTTGCAATTTTTTTAGAAATGTTTCAAGTAAATCTTTTCAATTTCTTCACGTCTTTAAGGATTAATAAGACGAAATACATAAATCCTTAACAATTTATTTCAAGCTGATCAAATTATATTGATATATTTCCTACAATTATCACCTTCACCTGCGGTTGCTATGGTTACATGATAAGCTTTGAAAGGTAAACAAGCCTTGAAGTTCATCGTGCTCACTCGTTTTTTTATCGAGAGCTTTTTTCTCTAAAAAGATGGAAGCGACAGTGAAATTTATAGTCAAATAACTATAGAAATTTTGCTACAATTTTATGAATTGTAACATTCTTAAATAAAGTTTAAAAAGATGTTTTAACCTTTTTTGTAATATTTTCAAATATTTAAACAAACTGTGTTTTGCTCAATATGTCTGGATCTGTGTCATCTGAAGAAGGAGATTTAAATGCAATTATTAAAGAGGTTTGTTATTCATAGCAAGAAACTAAAAATTTATTAAATTACTTTTTTTTCCTGTTTCCTAGTCAATTCTAATCAATTCCATCCTAGTCAATTCTAATAAATAATATAAAGATAAATTATTTTAATAAGTATTTTTTAATTCTATCAAATTGTAACTTAAATCTTTTATTGCGAAAACAGTATAATTTTTGTAATTTCCAGCATGGGAGACAAAAAGATGCACTTGCAATCCTTTGAAAATCCAAAACTATATTGGTTCTGATTGAACATATATGTTACTAATTTTCTATTTTAAATTATTAAAAGTCTGAAAGTCCGTAATAGTTCTGATATTTGTAATGTAACAAATTTTGAACTTCAACTTTTTCTATTCTTTTTCTATCTAAAAATAAATTTATTTTTATTTTCATTTTTTTTTTTTAAATCTGAAAATAATATTACTTTTAAATATTCAAATTTTTGAGTTAATTTTTCAGCCATGAAATTATATGATAAACACATATTTCTTTGAGTGATTGGTATCTCGTTAAAAATTCAATTAATAAGCGAAAACTAAAAAGTAATAAATCACTAAAATGAATTTTCTATGCTCATAAAAACATATTATTTGCATTACATATTTGTTAGAACTTAAAACAATATTAAACTAATTTTAATATTTCTAAAAATTGTTAATTAATTAATATTTAAAATTTTCATTTTTAACTTTTATAATTCTTTTGAAAAATTGCTTGTACAAAGAATACCACTAATGTGGATATATTTAACAGTTTTTAGATTTTTCAAAATTGTCAAAAACATTATCAACGTTTGAAGAAGAATGTCAAAAATTAGGTAAACCCATCCAGGAACAAGCTGGGAAAAGCAGAAGAGACGAAAGAATTTTGAAAATCAAAGTTCGTAAAAACTATTATTACTACTTCGATTACTTTAAATTTGTATTGCAATTTATATAATTTTTTCTAGTAAAAGAATCTTATTTTTGTTCATTTTTAGACTGAATTATTAGATCACTTTGATAATGGTCAACGAACTGAATTTTTCTCAGCTTGGGAAACACACATTAATCCTGAACTTAGAGAAAACAATGTGTTTTGTCAAAAGCTCGAGTTCAACTTACAGTTACATTTTGCTGTTTTACCAATGAGAAAAGTAGATCATTGGGTAAGTTTTCTTTCCATAATTTTTTTTCTTTTCTAAAGTTGATTATAATTTATAGATTAATTTTTTATTGAAGTAAGAGCGAAAAAGAAAGCTATTTTGAAAAGAATTATTGTTGTTTCTAACGCCACTTTTTTTATTTTATTTTATAACCGTCGTTAAACAGTCGACCCATCTTTGAGTTTACGACTACCAATGTTCAACTTCGCAGCCTTGTAATTTCGAACACAATCCAGAAGACAAGGGAACTCCTGGCTCAAACTTTGGGGCTAACAAGCTTTCGTGGAGGACTTTATAACGAAACTAACCCGCATTTCCGCTACATGGAGAATAAAACCTCGAAAATCTTCCATGGTTAGCCCGATGGCACGAGGATTCTAACCCATGATCTGTCTACCACTGAGGATATTTTACGATAGAATATGGTCGGTGCGAGCCGAGAGCACTGCTGGAACTCGAACTGGGTCAACTCATTATTGGGCGAACGCTCTAACCTTTGAGTCACCGTGGCTCAAAGGGTTTATATAATTACCACCTTTAGAACATGTTTAAAATCCGTATAAAATAAAAGCAAAAATATGCATAGAGCAAACTAAAAATTAAATGAGATATAAAAAATACTTTAACAAAATCTGACGAAACCTTACCGAGGTCTATCCCGATGTAGAGGTCAATATAAGCATCAATCTCAGCTCAATTACGGGATGGAATTGAAAAAAGCTATCGAAAAAAAAACTTTTAGTCTGATTTAATGCCTTTTACCTTCATTTCACGACTTTCGCTGTTTATAATCCCTATTTCTGATATTAATTGACTATAATAATGATTCGTCAGATATCGATTATATCTTTTTCCAATTATTTATGAATTTTTGTCTCTTTTAATGTGTATATTTTTCTGCTTCGGCTAATAAGGTTAAAAAGTGTTGCATAATGGTGATAATTATATTAAAAATTGTATTTAAAATTTGGTATGTTTTTTAAATGAAATCTGATTACAAGCCTGAACAATGGGACAAATGACCGTTCATTCTTTAACATTTTCTGAAAAGCTTGTAGATAATGTCAAAGGTTGTAAAATAGATTGTTATAAAATAATTGGAAAATGCGTTCTCAATATATTTTTTGTCTCTATGTGCAATAAAAAAATAATATATTTTTAAAAAAATGAAAATGCATGCACAGAAATTTTAAAAAGAAATCTAAATATTTCTAATTTAAAAGCATTTTAGTTGTTGTGCCCATTTAGAATTTAAAAGTTTTTAAATTTACAGAAAGGTATCTTTAAACAAATAAATGTAAATTTGAATAACTTATCAAAATTTACTTGAAACATAATACATTATTTAATATTCATAACTAGATGAGAAGAAAAAGCTTAGAAATGAGATGTAATTGGTAAATGCTAATAGTGCGAGAGCGTTATGTTTTTTTGTATACGTAATGAAGAAATATAATAGCATAAAATCGCTGACTTACGATTACAAAGATTGTTGTTGATGTCATTATTTAGCATGACATATGCTTTTTATAAGTCTTATAAAATCTCTGAAAATGGCAAACATTTTTATAGAGACATTTGATTAAATGTCTCTGTATGATGTAATGTGTATTCTTTTATCCTTGAAAATAATTACATTTTAAGCGACGAAATGAAGTGAAAAGGATCATTGAATAAATTTAGAGGAAGATATGCTATTGATTGTATGGAATTAAAATCTCGGGTAAACAGAATTCATGGTCAGAAAAACTTCTCATGATCGTAGCTAAAATCCATGTAATAACGCATTAAAGTGTATAGCTCGATTATTTTAATCATCATATCAGTTTCGAAAGAGAAAATATTCGGCTTGTTAAATTCTTAAAATTATTATGTTTAAAGTGGTGTTATATCTCTCAAACAGAGGTGAGATACGGAACTCATATATCGCTTTAACCCTTTGCTGCCGTATTAAGTTTATGCATGGTTGTCATGTTAGTCGGAATTAATTTACTTAAGCACAATTTATAAAATATTATTTCAAATTCTACGTATCTCCGAAGCTTGTCGACTTATAAGATCAGTATGGTTCTTTGCCGTGGTGGCAGAGAGCAGACATACGACTGGAACGGTAAAAAAGCGTTGGTGGCAGAGAGTAGACATACGACCGCAAAGGGTTAATAATGCCACCGTCTCTGTCTCAGTTTTAGAAAATTTTCACAACCACTCTCATAACTTAAAAATTATTGGAAAGGAAAATGTGAATGCTACACATTCTTAGCGAAATGTTGCAGCCACGTACTCTTTTGTCTGAAAATGGCACCATGTTTCCGTTTTTTTTTGTTTGTTTTTTAATTATTTATTTTTGCAGTTTCTCTTTCGAAACAACTCGTTTATATTTAGTTTTATAACTGGCGTTGAATAACAACTAAAATCTGAGTTTACGAAGAATGTTTAACACCGTAGCCTTGTAATTTTGAACCCAATAAAGAAGACAAGGGGAGCCTCTTCTCAAGCTTTGAGGCAAACTAGGTTTCATGGATGACTTTATGACTAAACTAACTCGCATTTGCGTTACATGGAGAAGAAAACCACGAAAATCTCCTATGTTCAGCCCGATGGCAAGAGGATTCTAATTCATAACCCGTCTACCACTGAGGATATTTCACGATAGCAATATGGTCGGTGCGAACCGGGAGCACAGCTGGAATTCGAACCTGGGGACCTCATTATTGGGCGAACGCTCTATACTTTGAGCCACCGTGGCTCAACTCCTTTGTATTATCAGTTCTGGGAAAAAAATAACTACGAGATGGTAATTATAAAATTGACACTTTTTTCCGCTTTTTGGAAGAAACCGCCATATAGTTTTACCTATTTATTAAATTTTTTTTTTTTGATAATTTAATTTGGGGACTCGATAATAATATTAACATAAATTGATGTGTTGAAATTTTTGAAATTTTCTTCCGATGTTCTCCACTTACGAATCTGTCGTCTGTGTGGCATTTTCTTTTAGCAAAAGTTCATCCGTTTGTTTACTGTTTATTAATTTTTTTCAATTATTTCTCTTAATTAGAATTAGCTTCAGAACTTTGTGGAGTCAAGGTGAATAAATTATAAGTTCTTTAGTTATATAAGCATATTTTACTAATCGTTAAGTAGAATTATTGGTCATTTTTATGATATATTATAAAAATGTACGTGAATATTAGCAGCTAAATTTAGTGTTTCAATAAAACACATATTTTTCAATAACTTAATATTTTAATAATTTTTATCTCATCCGCTTACGTTATAGTAACCGCTTGTGTCTTTGTATCTATTTAATGCCCATTTTCTCCTCACTTTTTCCACCTACATTCGAAATGAAAAGAGAATGAGTGAAACATTATTTAAAGGAAAATTCATTGCCCCCGCATGACATATCTAAGCTAATAAGGCTCTTAATTCTGCATAACTTGATACAATTTTCATTGATGCGGGTAGAGCGTGTTGCGTTGTTTATTAACTATAGTACTGATTTATTTTGATGATTTATGAAAAAAGAAAAAAAATATCTTTATTATTATTATTATTTTGCAGAAATTTATAGGACGCCATTGGAGTTAATATTTTTTAATAACTAACAATGGGAAATAAATTACATTTTGATCGCAAAATGCATAAAAAAGGGAAAAGTACAAATAATTATTTTTTAAACACAATTATGTTCTTTTGATGAAAATTTTAATTTTAACCTTATTTATCTCATGACACACAAGTCTTTAGCGACAATCTAAACATATTTGATTACGGTTTTTAATGTCATTGCGAATAAGAATTACACTATTTCCGTGTGATTTTCGTTTTCCTTATCCGTTTAAATAAGTTAACTTTGGGAACATATAGCGCCGTTTAGGAGAAGTTTTGTCAAGAAATTGTATCAAAATTATGTAATTTAGTTGAAATTGTATCACATTCCTTTTCACTGCGAGGCTTTGAGTTGGATCAAATTTTTTTCATTCTTCCTGTCGATTCAGTTTTTCCCATGATGGCTAAGCAACGGAATGCTTGAGAAAAAATTTCTCTTACACGCCCGTGAAATATTTCCTTCTTAGCAACCACAATTTAAATTTTCAAGTGAGCCCAGTCAGCATCCTATCTAATTTTTTAAATTTTTTATAAAATGATCTCAATTCTCGTAATTTAATATTAATAAACAAAGAAAAAGGAAACAATTTAATTTGAAAAAACTTGATCGAATTCTATTAGTAAAAGAGCAAATAATACATTCGTTAAAAAAGAACTATTTGTTAAAAATTAAAGGCTTATTTAAAATTCTTGTTTCCTTTCAAATAAATCTAACCAATTACAATTTTAAGCAATTTAATCCCTTTGTAAATTAATCGTTTATGGAGGCATTGTTATAAGATTCGAGAAGATAAGCGTTTGCTCACCAATCAAATCAAATCAATCAATTTGATCATCAAGATCATCAAATTTGAATCTCGGAAATGATTGGTTAATTCAGATACTGTACTAACAGCTTACACCTAGGGCGCCGTCAGCGGGGTGCAAGAGGGTGCACTTGCACCCCCTGGCTTTTTTTTTAAACAATTTAAGAGATACAGAAAAACAATTTTGTTATAAAAAATTTCTATTAAAAATATTTTTATTCAAAAACAAATAATCAAGTAATTATTGATATATAACAATTAAAAAATTGTTTAATCAAACAAGAATTGTAATCGTCTTGTTTGCTGTTCTAATCTGTTTACTACTTTTTCAATGAATTCTGAGTCATCTTTGATTCTTTTCTAATGCACACTGAGCATGCACTAACTTGGCAGATATATCTAAGCTATATTTTTAAATTTCATTTGATAAAATATAAATAATATATTTTCTATTAGTTATTTAGTTTAACAAATGTGTATAACGCAAACTGACTTCTCACAACTGAAAAACTTCATCAACACTATAAATACCAATGTTATGAGTGCACAAACACGTTAGTATACGAAACTACTGTTGGTAGTTATTTGTGTTTCAAAGTCAGTAGCTATGCCAGCGCCATCAGTACAGTTTCTCGTGGCAAAATTTGCAAGTACAAAAAAATTTCGTACTTTTTTTAAAATATCTTGTTAACAATGAAGAAATGTATCTTGAAAAAATTAGCAGATGAAAGTATATGTAATAACAAAACAAAATGTAATAACAGAATATTTTTTTTAAAAAATTGAAAGGGGGGTAGTTTGTTAGAGGGTTGCACCCCTTTTTATATTATTTTGCCGACGCCCTTGGCTTACACCAATCTTAGTGCTGTAGAAAAATATTCTCAATGCAGATCATGGGTTAGAGTTCCTTTGTAGTGGGGTTAACCATTGGAGGATTCCGTGGTTTCCCTCTCCTTGTAATGCAAATGCGGATTAGTTTCCCTCAAGAGTTTACCTGAATTCTTGATCCAGGAGTTTCTTTGTTTTCTGGGTTCGATTTAAATTTAAAAGCACCGAGAGGTAGAAGTTTGATCTAGTCGCAAATCTGGTATGGATCAACTATTCAATGCCGGTGATTAGGACAGCTTGAAATAATCTTCGCTTTTGTAATAATTAATTTGAAGACAGATTTTTTTTCTTCAAATCCAGAAATTAAGACAAAGAAATTTCTGTTTGGGAATGCATACATGTAGTAAAATAAAATCTTTCTCTGTGTCTCGACCTGAAAGCAAACGGTTGTAAACAGCCACAAAATATAAATTTGAAGCTATATATGGACTCATTTGAGTGCAAAGAAGTATTTCGTTTTTCAATCACAGGACATTGAATTTTCGAGATTTATCTGAACATTATACCCATAGTATTCAAACTAAGCGTTTTTTGTAAAGGTTAAGATATTTTTCTTAAATTCAAAATATCTCATTTTTTCTTAGGACAATTTTTCAAATTTCAAAAGACCCATTTTTTTTCCCTTCAGTTTTCCTCCCAAAATTTTAAATTACAACATTCAAGAACCTATTATAAGATTTAAATGGGAAAATCATATGAAAACACAGTAAGATGTCTCCATTTTTATTTAAAGCAGGAACTAGGAAATAATATTAAATACACGGTTTTGTTTTTATGCTTTTTTATGAAAGAAAAAATACCGATTTTCATTCTGAAATCAACCCTCGCCTAACTAGCACATTCTATAAACTTTTCTTGAATTTTTTATGGTAATAAAATCATGCTCTATTGATTGTGATTCATATTTATTTCAAACATCCTATTTAAGCTGACATTGTTTACTATTTCTGTGTAGCATGGTTCAACAAAAGTCAACATCAATTCAATTAATTTTATATCTCTTAGAGTAAGGAAGAAGTAGAAGAAGCAATGCTCCATTTCCATTATTTCTTGGAGAGCAAAGGAACCGTTTTGAGTGATTGTACTGAGTTCTTGCCATTTTATGCTCTGCCTTATGTCCCTCGTCCGAACACTCATCCAACTTTCGCAGAAATATTTCAAGTAAAAGTCATACAAAACAAAAACTTTATTCATAAGTATGTCTTTACATCTGCTTATTTCGAGTGAATCGTTTCGATATTTTTTTCAGGAATCTTGGTTGAAAAAGTTGAGGAGCAAATTGGAAGTTTTCATCTTCGAAGGTTTGGAAACGCAAAGTGAAGATACACCAGAACCAAGATTGGTGGAATTATATGTATCCTTAATAGTGCTCGTTATTAAGGGCTGTATAAAATTTATTAACGATATAAAATTTGTAGATTTTGAATTATTTTTGAAGTTGTTGTGTGCAAGAAAAATGGCGGTATATAGATTTTTTTTAAATATAAAAGCTATTTAAATACCCAGCGTATCTTATTTATAGAAGCATTAATATTTCAATTAAATCTAAAACAATATATGTTTTCACAATCCAAGTGCCTAAGTTTATAATAAAAGTATTCTTATGATATTTCATTAGGACTTCGCGATATTTTCTAAGTTGACCTTCGAAAACTGAGGAATATTATAGTGATTAGACATAATATCATTAAAATAAAATGCAAACAGTTTTGAGATGTTAATTGATATTGTTTTCTGTCAAAAAAAAGTCATTGAAGACTTGTGCTGCAGATTTTGTGAAGACTTTTTTTCAATATGCTGTATTCTACACAACTCAGTATTTGGAAGCTATAACTTCTAAAATTCGAATTTCGGGAAATTATTTTACCACATTATTTAACACGCTTCAGCTTCTAGACTCGTTTGATTGAATTCTAGTTGTAAAATTGTGGTCTTCCATCTAACGCACTATAGTAAGCGTTTTCAAACACAATTTTGAAGGTAAACTACTGAAACAGAAAATAATTGAACACCAACAGCAATTATTATTTTAATATAATCAACAATTTGCACCACTTTCAAACTAACACGTATAAAACAAACAATACAATGGGTTACAAAATAGAAAAATATGGCCAGTTGCTCCAAAGTAACAGAAAACACTTGCAAAACCGTTGTAATACGTATTAGTATAGTGCATAGTTGTATCGGTTACAACATAGTGACAGCAATATAAAGAGGCAAAAAAATCAAGTGGTTATTTGCATTTTTCCCCCTCTTTGCTGCTATCATTATATTTCAGTGGTTTTAGCTTTTCAGATTTTCTATATATTTCCTTAATTAGATATAGCATAATCGAGATTTAGACTTGCAAGGTATGTACTTTTCCAATTTTTTTTCCTCTCAAATTTTAAATTGATTTAGAGACCTATATACAAAATAAAATCTCATTTCAAGTACATATTTATACAATATTCATTATATGAGATTTTTAATTACAGATTCTAGTAAAGAATTGCAGTACCTTGAAAGACATATAGAAGAATCTGAGAAACGATCTGTATTACATGCTAAAAAGTGTGAAAAGCTACAGGTATTTCAATACAATTTTTTACTAAGTATAAATATACAAAATAATTGTTATTATATATGTCGTTGGCTAATTAATAAATCTATCTCATCGCAAATTTATTCAATACTTACATATCAGCATTACAGTTATGCAAAATAATTGAAAAATGTTTTGATTTTTTCTGATCCGCTTGATATTTTTAATCTCATTAGAATCAGTTTATATGACTTTAGGTAAATTAAAAATGGGCGAAGAATTATTCAATTAGACTGGCTTTGCTTAGGCTTATCGCAATAAACATTTTATAATGCTGTTAAAAAATCCTTCACGTTTTTGGGTTAATTGCAAATTAATTCAAATAAACCAGGTGAATTAAGGAAAAATTAGATTAATTTTCTAATTAGCCTAAAGGTATTCGGGCTCACTAAAACCTGTCAGGCTGATTAGTAAATTCTGGAGGTTTTTGCAAATAACCTGGTGAATTACAGAATCACGTCGACTGGTTGCAATGTGTCGGATAATTTAAATAGCTTGCGACATACATATATTTAAAGGAGAAACTCAAACTGATTTTTCTTAAAAGTAGTCATTGGTGTACTGAAACAATAAAAATAAAATTTAAATGAAAATTGTAACAATTTAAGATTATCATGGATCATAAACTATTGATATCACAAACTATAAGTATAGTAAATGTCGCTTTGATAGTATTACCCACCAAACTGACTCCAAGATTGGGCATATTGGCAGAGAAACTATTGTAACAATCACCCTAAAAGTATAAAAATTAAAATATGCTTTAAAAATAAAAAAATATATTTTCCCAAAAATATTTTTTCTGTTTCAAAATTAATTGCTCCGCCAATTATGAGCAATGATGCAGGATTTTTTATAATGAACACCCTTAATTCATTTTTAGAATTCTTACAATAAATGAAATCAAAAATATATTTGGCCAAATTTTAACATTTGAATGAGAAAACGCTTACAAACTATGACCTATTAAAATTAGTTTTAAAAATAAAACTAGAGACTGTTTAAAGAGCAATTAGAAAGCCAGTTTATCTGTCAGACTGGAATGCATTTAACTTTTACTGGGAAATGCTTTTAAGCTTCAATTTCAAATAAATTGATTTTAGATTTTTTTTCAAGTTCCTCCTTGGCCTTTCCTGGCGTTGATTATTGTTGGTCAGAGATAAAAAATGCGTTTTTCTCACCTTAATATTATTTTCAACCGAATGCGTCCAATTTTTGACTTATTTTTTCAAAGATTTTAAAAATCTATATTTAAGGCTGTCATTACGATTATCCTGCATAAATAATGTTTTATATTTTTTCTGTAAAACAAAGGTAACACAGTTGCTTATAAAACATTTTCTCCAAAAATTGAGATACACTTATACATTCTTATTTACCACAAAATATTAATTGTTGAAATATTTTTGCATTGAACTTTAAAGCAAGGATGGCCAACCTTTTGCTTACCATGTGATAATTTTTCGACCGTCAAGTTCGGTGCTCATTATTTCTGAACACTTTTTCAGAATCTTACTTATCATTTTTCTCTCCATTCGGGTTTGGTAAATAGAGATAAGGATGGACATTTTTTAACAGTAAGTCAATGAACTAATCGTTCTTCACCATGGAAAGTGCCGGAAGTGTTTCCAATTTTGCGTTGCTTCGTGAGCACCTTGAGACCAGAGTCACGGAGGCGAGCTACATTATACACGCCACACTGCCACAGATACCCCTTCATAGGGTTTGCTGCATTCACACATCACACACAACAGAGAGAAAAACCCTTGCCTTGAGAGGGACTAGAACCCGTAGCCATTGGCTTCACAGACAGGCGCGCTAACCGTTCGGCCACCTGGCTGGCATAAGGATAGGCTTCATTTAGTTAGACCAAGCGCGAATACCAGAAAAATTCTATTCGTACACGCGGAGTAATGTTATCTCTTATTAAAATACCACGAAAGCAAATTTGAAAAATAACGTTGCCTATATTCTAAAAGAGCCAGCCAGGGGGCCAGGATGCGAAGCCAATGATCGCAGGTTCGAATCTCTCTCGGGATATTGTTTGTCCTGTGGTGTGTGAATATGGCCAACCCTATGAATGGGCGTCTGTAGCAGTGTGACGTGAATAGTTTTGCTCGCTTTCATGACTCAGGTTCACCAGGTGCAGGAAACACTTCAGACATATTCCGTGGCAAAGAACGTAATAGTTCAGAGTCAGCCGTTTGAAAAAAAGAACACTAAGAGAACATTAATCTGTCAATGCTTGTCTGTTCCAAGGGCTCCCCTTGAGCTACGTGGTTATCAACCCGGTTCGTGCTGTTTTGAATGCAAGAAGGCAGACACTCCATAGAGTTTGTGAGCAAGAACGTGTGCCAAATGGTCGAGTTCACAGTGAGTGGAAAAATGGGAAAAACCTATTGCTTTCGACGGGGTGCAAGCACAAAATAATTTTCATTTATGCGTGCGAAACAATTTTATATCTCATTAAAATACCCCGAAAACAAATGGAATGATCCTGCATTAAATCGCCATAAATCTATTAATCTTGGTGTCCATAATCGTTCACCCTCTTGGCGATCTTAAACCCCTATCTTCTAGCATCCACCATGCTTACAGTTAGTTGGTCAGCAATACCAACCTCAAGAAATTTGTGCTTACAAACCAAAGGTAATTAATCTCACCCATAATCATTGCAGGGAAAAGTTTCTTAACTACCTAAAGTTGACCTAAAAGGAAGGAAAATAATAACTTAATCACGAAATTAAATTAATCTAAACTCATGTTTGTGAAAATTGCAACACCATGAAGGACTTACATTGAACTGAAATTTTCAGGAAATGCAAAGTAGAGCATAATATGCAAATGATTAGAATTTCAGACCCGTAGCGCATGCGTATGCTGAGCAGCGCCCTCTGAACGGCGGATGGATCCGAATAAATAGACGGCTGTAGCGAGACGTGTATAGTTATCGGTGGTTATCTGCTAGTGGTAAACGTTAGCTCAGACGTTACTTATGCCTCTTTGACGAAAGAGAGCGAGATTTCAACAACTTACGTAGTTTGAAAGGGGGGAAATCATCGGCCTTCGTGAAGCTGGATTGTCTTATCATGCTGTAGCCGCTCGTGTGCAGCGTAACAGAAGCACAGTGATGCGTGTTTGGAAGCAGTTAACACACGAGTGTCAGACAACTCGGATATCCGGGAGTGGACCCCGAAATGTCACGTCAGCTCGCGATGATAGATACCTGGTCCGCATGGTGCTGACAGATCGTACGGCTCTCTCTAGACAACTGGCAGCACAGTGGTCAATAGCTACAGGTGTTTCATTGCGTGCTTCATCAATTCGTAGACGTCAACTGCAGCGTGGACTGCGCGCAAGGACTCCTTTATACAGGATCACCATCACGCTAAACCATAGCCGCCTGCGGCTACAATGGGCCAATCAGCATAGGGATTGGCGTGCTGATTGGCAGCGTGTCGTGTTTTCTGACGAATCCCGCTTTAATTTGTAGTACTATGATGGCCGCATTCGTGTCAGACGCTATGCCGGCGAACGCCACCTTCCGGAGTGCATGATCGAAAGCCACAGGAGACGAACACCCGGAGTTATGGTCTGGGGTGCCATAGCATGTCATGGACGATCTCAATTGCTATGAATTGTGGGTAATCTGAACAACAACCGGTACATCAGTGAAGTTTTACTGCCCCAAGCTATTCCCTTCCTTCAAGCCTTGCCAGGCGCTGTATTTCAACAAGACAATGCCCGCCCTCATATTGCTAGGACTGTTCAATCCTTCCTTGCATTGCGACAGGTACAGCCTCTTCCTTGGCCCGCGTATTCCCCAGATATGTCACCGATTGAACATATGTGTCATTTCGTTGGTCAGTGCCTCGCTCGTGATCCTCGTCCTGTTGCTTCTTCAGACGAACTTTGGGTACGCATACAAACTATGTGGAATGCTCTTCTTTAGACAGACATTCAAAATTTGCTTCACTCCATGCTACGTCGTGTAGCAGCGCTTATTGCGGTGCGTGGTGGCTACACAAAATACTGATTTCGATCTCTTGCTTTGTTTGTTTGCTTTGAAAGTTTAATCATTTATTTGTACCAGTACCACTCAACTGTGTAGTAAATTTCATTCAATTATGACGATTCCTTCATGGTGTTGTAATTTTCACAAACAGGAGTTTATTAACACTAGTTTAATGAAGTACTAATCTACGATAATCTGGAAAATCGAGAATGATCTCTTGTACAAGAGGGTGATCGCTTCATGACACTGTTACCAAGGAATCTCGTTTGTGAAGATGACTCTGAGCCACAATAGTTGGCACTGAGAGCAAGAATCGCTTGCAACTTGCTGGCGTATAATTAATGACATTTTTAATAGAAATTTGATTAGCGATCTTATTCATTTTATAGCGTAAAAGTAATTACATTGAACTATTCACTGAGTCAATGTTTGGTCACCGCTGCTTTAGTGTGAAACTAACAGTGACACTTTCGCAGGAATTTTCGTAAGTATTAAAAAAAAAAAAAAAACTAATAAATTATTTAGAAAGCGAAAAATTCACAGGGAAAAATTTATTGTTCATTATTTTTTATTTCGAAGTACAATTTTTTATTTTTTTAGGAAGAATGCCGGCAGTTGATGGCAGTTGCAACTCTTTTGATAACAGCTCTGGAAAATGCAATAAAAGGCAATTTGGTAATCTAATCAAATATAATTACATTATGCTAAATATTTCGTTTGCTTAATATTTTGTTATTGTTTGTGAAATTGGTTTAGGTTGTTTTATTATTAATAAAGTTTGTGAAACTACATGAAACTGAGTATTAGAACATACGTGAATGATAAGAACAGATTAAATTAGTAAAGAATATTCAATTTGACATGATATAATTTTATTTCACTTTAGGTAGACATGGATTGTGTTTTATCGGCTTGTGCCACCCATCTTCCTGATCTAGAAAAACTTCGGAGTGAGTCGCCAGAGAAAAAAACTTCTGATGAAAGTAATCTTGATGGGTATGAACTCTTTGAAATTAATATATAATATGAAATAAGCTATGTATTAAAAAGCAAAAGTAATGGAGTAAAGGTATTTATTTGTCTAGAAGAACCATAAGAAATCGTCTTACTATCATTGACGACAATGATGCTTAATTAATGTCTGTAATATGTATTACTTGAAATAAAAAAAGTAACTTCTGAACTTAACAAAAATAAAGAGAAAAGATACTTATTCGCGATTAGGGTAACCGTAAAAAGATCTGCATATTATTATTGACACTAATGCTCAATTAATATTGATAATGTGTATTAAAAGAATGAATTGAAATGATTTTGTACTAAAAAGCTCATAAGAAAAGATCATAAAAATTTGCAAAAATTGAGAATAAGGCAGTGATTTTTATAATTTTCGTCTAGTTGGAAAAATGTCGCCAAATTGGCCATTTTTTAAAAAGGTTTAATTTCTTTTTAAATATTTAAGTCATTTGTCTGTTCTAAAGCCCAGATAATTCTTCGCGGCAAGATTATTTATATGAAATTATTGCATTGCTTCACGTGTAAGGCTTAAGGTCACTTAAACTATGAATTTTATATTTTCCTTGGCGACAGAGCTTCGAAAAACGTAGTTAATAATATGTTAATAATATATTAATATTATTAACGTATTTTTTACTATACCAAATGAATGTTTCTTTCTGTTGCCTACCACTTTAATTTCAAGGAAGCATTGTGCTTTGACTTCTCAAACCCAAATCTAAATATTAATATTAATATATTGATAGCATTATATGGGTGATTCTCACGAAACATGACAATTCGGACCAAAAAATTTCTTCATATTTAAAGTCTTCAAAATAATCTAAAATTTTTTTTGTATACTTCTTTAGCTACACTTATTAATATCTTATAGACAGCAGTGTAGTTTATTGACATTAGCTCGAGAAAAAAAAATAAATAGAAATTCAACAAATCTTGAATGCCAGGAAAATGACATATTACCTTAGAAGTTTAAAAAGCAGTCATTTTAAGTTCATAGTAAGCAACTCAACTTAAGCCTTTATGTTAGATGAATCATAAATTGCTTAAATCAATTCTTTTTATCCACTGTAGAAAGAAACAAAAAAAAATTGTCGCTGATATGTACAGAATAAAATTGTGTATAATAATCAATCATTGAATAAATAAATAACTTTGATTACATCCAAGCATATTACAATCATACATAAACTTGGTATTAGGTTAATATTTGTTTTCCCTCTTCACAGTATTAGCAGTTAAAAAGAATTTCTGGTAACACTTCAATGTCCTGGCATTCATAAGCCAGGATAATGACAAATTCGCCATTTTATAGCATATAACTTTACTTTAGCTTAATATTTTGGCCGACGACGTTTATATTCTGCAGAAAACAACAGTATTTCTTAAAATAACTCAGATAAATCTATGCAGTTTTTGTTATTAATGATTTCAAGAAGCCAGGAAAATGACAGCATAAAAACCTACTCACCTTGAAAAATATTTTGAGCCAGAAAATTGGTTCTTTATTCATGCAACAAGACATGTTCAGATAGGAGGGTATCTAATCAATCTATTAACATAAGATATTAATTCCTGGCGCTATCTATTTTGGTTATAAATCACTAAATAAAAGTAGCCAGGAAAATTACAGATTTTCATGGGACAAACAAATTATTGACAGAAAAAATTATTTTAAACGAAGTTTTAGTAAACAATACCCTCTGCGTATATTCTAGAAATGCTTACAAAGGATAAGATAAAAAAAATTAGCTTTTGAAAAATGTACGGGAAGTTTTGAAGTTAGTTATTATTGGAAATATTGTTTGGGACATGACAGGAAAATGACATTTTGATATTCAATTAAATTTTTTAAGTATACAAAACAGTCAATGCTAGTGCAAAGTCATTTTAAA